TGTAAGCGTTTCTAAAGCGAAATATTTTGTTATCTTTCTATAATTAGACTATCTGGAAAGTTCTACAATTATATTGTGACAGTATATAAGTAGGCGAGTCCAAGCGAAGTTTTAACTAGTTTTCACAAGCGAAGAGAGTTTGCCGTTAGTCGTGTTTAGTCAAGTGTGACGGAAGCAGTGTTTACTTAAGTTGGCGGAGGCTGCGTCAGTTTAACGAGTTACGTGCAGTTGTAGAGTTTTACTAAGTGGAAAGTACGTTCATTTTTGGAATAAATCTTCTTGTTGCTGTTCCGACAACCCTGTGTTCAGTTAAGTTTGCAGGCTACCCGTCCTCTAAAAGAATACCCGCGTAACGGCCACATTAAAGTGTTAGTTAGCCTTAGATGTATCAAACAAAGTCGTGATGGGCCGAGTACAAAGCTAACGCTCACGCTATTTGCTATCTTTTCAAAGACCTAAAACCTGTCTTCACGTCAACTGAATTCCAAAAATAATGGTCCAATTTTGTTATTTAAGACTATAAAATTATTCAGGCATTGAAACAGTTTCCTGTTGCCTATAGTTACGGATGGCAAGGATGGAAATGGATTGAAACGTGAAAATGCTGGGCGAACCTTTCCGAGATTTAATGCTATGCCTGCAAAAATCACCAAAAATGATGATTTTTATGGTCAGTGCTCAGGGATGAATAACTCTACAGGAGCATTTTGTGTGTGGCTAAAGGTACTAAGTTTCGACTTAAGTACAGAAATGACCTAAAACAGCAAAATCCTTGTGATATAGCCCCTTTAAACAGGGAAACCAAAACACGGGTAGGAACTACAAAAGCAAAATACAAAAAGACTACATGGAAGAGAGGGCCGCCACGGTGAGGGACAATCTCGCTAGGGAGTCGAACCCAACCTCACCAGCAGGGAATACAGTGTTCTTACAAGACCGCGGCATTGCGGCATTGCCGCACTTTTTCGGGAAATGCTACACTATAATTAGCCCAAGGGGTCCCAGGGGCGCAAAGAAAGAAAAAAAAAACTATTACAAAACGTACGTAAGCATACGTACACATACGTACATTTCCTCATAATATAAGCCAAAATTTAATTGGTTATGGCGTCTTTAGAAAACACCCATCATTATCTAAGACTCAGACCCGTGAAAACGTTTAGTTAAACTGTATCTAAAAATTGTGACCTGCTTTTTTCCCTCATGACCCCCTTTTGGCTTCTCTATGGGTCCTGTGCACCCCAGTGTACGAAATCCTGGTAGGAAAATTGGGAACACTGACGGGAGAGCTACAGCATAAACAGGTTAAATGGAGGAAAGAAAGACAAAAATTGTGGCAGATTGACGAGACCCGGTTTCCTCTGGTGTTCACAAAGACCAACGGTATGCGGTCGAGATTCGCTATCCATGCATAACAAAGTGACTTCCGTGAGACAGATGATAAACGAGATTATCAAGTCCATGGGTAGCGACCAAAGGGCTTATGGACACCTTAGGGAGGGAGTAAAAAAAGTATATACAGTAACTCAAATTAACAAAACAGAGTTACGAATTCCAACTGGCAGGAGGCAAAGCACTCCGCCCCTCCTCTTTTACAAGCGCAGCCGAAGAGCTTAATTCAGTATTACTGAGTTCAAATCCCTCTAAAGAGCCGGACGCGATTTGAAGTCGGGGCCTCCGGATTACATTTCCAATGTTCTATTCGCTTGGACACTCTGCCTTCCTACAAGGAAAACTTCATTTTAACAACGGAATGCACCGAAATGCGCCCTAATAAGCAGATACTCACCGGAGGGCCCTGGGTTCCAGGCAGGCCAGGTGTGCCTGGAGGTCCTCTGTTACCCTGTCAGATAATATAAAACAAAATTAGTTGACAACCCTGAGAACTTGGAGTTTTAGGCCAGTGGGATAGGGGAAAAAATCGAAAATCCTTCTTTTGGCTAGATCGTGGAAAACTTAACACACTATAACCCGAAAGTATAAATGTCCAATTGAATGCGTGTTAATCATTTTAAGTGGGAAAAGATACCAAAGAACAACTACAGTTCAACCTCTTGTAAGCGACCACCCAAAATGCGAAGATTTAGTGGTCAATTATCGGAGGTGGTTGCTTACGAGATTTGAACTACAGCGTGACTTTTCCGATAAATGGTCTCGACATACAGGTAAATGATCTACTTTCTGGAAGATAATTATTTGATTCTTGATAATTCTAACTCAAGGCGGGTGTATTTCTATGTTGTCATTAAAAGTTTTGGTTTAATTTGAGTTAAAATAGCGTAGTAAGTACACACAGAGACCAAACCATGCGTCAATTGGGGGTTTCTCACAGGAAGTTAAAAACAATGGACAGAAGTCGCTCACTAGAGGAGGTCGTTTGCGAGAGGTTCCAACTTGGTTCGGATTGACTAAAAATTGGAGTTCCAAAACGCAGTCGCATATGAGAGGTACTTTGTACACGGAGCTAAGTTCGACTGTTTTTAAGTCTTCCACGTCTGAGACTGCTCGGACAGTGTGCCCCATTTTTACCATTTCTTTTTTTTTTTCGGTATATTGGCAATTATAACATACAATGTAGCCTTTATTTTATTTACTGGACTTTTTTGTTTTTACTTACAACAGATCCCGGAACTCCAGGTGAGCCTTTCTCTCCACCAAGTCCAACAGTTCCCTAAACAATACACATTATTGTGAATTTGATGATAACTAAAGAAAACTTTAATAATTCCCAAAAATGGTATCCACATTACGAAAGAAATAATGATGCATGACAATTAATATCTCCTAACCACATAAACAACTCTAACCTTTACAATTGTCCTTTTAGAACAAGAGAATTATTATTTACCCTTTCACCCCAAGAAAACGTTGTGACAAGAATATTATTTTATTACTCTAACTTGTAAATCTGTGGACGAATTCCTTGGTTGATACCATTCAAATGAAACCTCTTGAGCAGAACTTTAACATGGCACTATACTATTTATAGTTTGTAGCTCAAATTTTTGACGCTGTGGATAAAATCCCATGGTGTTACCATTCAAATAAAACCTCTTCAGCAGTACTTTCACATGGTACTATTTATTTAGTATGTAGTTCTAACTCTTGAGTCTGTGGATAAAATCCCATGGTGTTACCATTCAAATAAAACTTCTTAGGCAGTACTTTTGGATAGTACTACTAATTGCTTTGGATTCTACAAAAGGAAACTTGTTTTGTGTGAGTGTGAAGTTTTCCTTTGGTCACTATTATGAAAAATACTCACCAAATCTCCTGCCTCTCCCTTGGTGCCGAAATCACCGACATCTCCCTTACTTCCCTAAAGAGGTTAAAAAAGGAAATCCAGTAAGCGTTTTTGTCAGCCAAATGGTTGAAATCTATGGTAATATCAAGAGGATACAATTCCTCAATGTATAACGAAAATTTGTCCAACTTATCAGTACCTTTTCTCCAGGGTTGCCTTTGCCGCCAGGCGCGCCTTCTCCGCCAGCTGGTCCCTACAACACGAACACAGTACATTAAATGGGCTATGTAAAACTATTTGCCAACTTTTTAAAAGCTAAACCTTTTCTCGCATCAAACGAATTTCAAAATTAATGGCTTAGGCCTAGGTCAAACGTCGAACTTTTCATTAGACGAACCTGCAAACTAAGTGTGTTAAGTTCATGAAAAGTTCGACGTCTGGCTCAGTTAAGTTCGTCTAAATGAGTTTGGATCGTCCAACACGTTCTGTTCGTCTGCTTCAGACATATAGAACGTCTGAAGATCGTCTCCGGGACGAACGTCGATCTTCACACGCAAATACGGCGAACTAAACTAAAAAATTAAAAATTTGTATGATAATGTATATTTTGCCTCGTTTGGGAGAAAAATAATGAATTAAAATTTCTTTTTGGTCTGATTCAGAGTTGATTGGTTCGACACGTCCTAAGTTCGACGTCTGACCCAACAGACGCTCTTAACTTAATCCAAATTGGAGTTTGGTTCGTCTCATGAAAATTTTGACGTTTGGACTAGGCGTTAGTTTTGTTAGCTAAGACTATATTTAGGCATTGAAACTGAATCATGTCGTATTCGGCAGAGGATGGAAATGGATTAAAACTTGAAAAACACGCACTAGAAAATTGTTAGGGTTACTTCTCCCTTACACTTACTTCTAAAACTCATTAATAATTCATAAAGAAAATACAAAGGAAATTAATGTTTAATGATTGCTTGGAAATCAGTTTTTTTTAAAAAAATTCTCATTCTTGCATCCTTAATTTCTCCTTCTAAAATCATTTTGTTTGAGAGGCAATATCAAGCATTCGACACAGCGTTTCAGCACCAGATGAAACACCTCGAAATTCGTCAAAAATACTTCGCTGCGCGTCTTGTTTTCAACTCTCTTCTCGGTGTTTCATCTGGTGATGAAACACTGCGTCTCATGCTTGATAGAGAGATTTTCGTGCGACCTTGAAATGAAAACGCGCGAACAAAACAGAAACAACAAACGAACGGAAATAGAGCTATTTGATTGGTTTATCGAACGGACACAAACGCGCGTGGCTTTTGGTTGGATAAGCGAACACTCGGGTGAAAAAAAACTTCATGCTAGAGAACTTTCTAGAAATCAACCGATACTTCGCTTTGACGTCGTACTGGAACACGATTGGCCAATCGAACAATGCCTTCTCCATATTAGGGTTTTCTTTGGCGGGAAAACGAAGAGGCCATGCCTTTGATCTTTTCATCCATTGGCTGATAAAACAAATAACGAACACTTACCGAGACCATTTTTCAAGGTCATACGAAAATCGCTCTATCTAACTTCATTACTCTACAGGAGCATTATATGTATGGGGTAAAGGCACTGAGTAATGACTTCAGCACAGAATTGAGAATTGACCCAAAACAGCAATATCCTCGTGTCATAGCCCCTTTACACCTGAAAGTGGTTGACTTCACGATCTTTGCAAATGTTGCTTCTCCACGGGAAAGAGCCATTTACCAGAGGGTAAAACGGCTAGAGTAACTGCAGCTATCAAGCAATTCCATATCCTTTACCGTGGATCAAGAATCTGCTATTGGTTGCGTATTTCACCAACTACCTCTCCTCCAATATTTGTTTCGAAAATAAAAACAATTCTGAAGAGTTATCTCTTCGATTGTCGATGGGAGGCTTAATTCTGTATATTTCTGTACACTCTGTTCTCATCAAGGTACTCTCATCCAGCTTCGTTAGGCTTCCTTGTCACATAAACTTAAAATTCAATTAACAACTTTTGTTGAAAATGTTTAACGTTTTCAAGTGTGGATGACTAAATAAGCAAATCTATAAATTTTTATACATACCACAGCTCCAGAAAGACCGGGTGTTCCGTTAGATCCTGGTGCTCCACGATTTCCCTAACGAAAACAAAGCAAATTATAATTCAGTGAAAAGAGTGCATTTCAAATGCAACTTGCAGTTTCAAGTACAAAAAAGGAACGTATAGCTGGACCGTGGAAGACCTTCTGGACACGTACTGTCCAGTAACAGGCCAGGGAAGCATTTGCAGACTGTGCATCCACTTCCGGTAGTTTTAGTTCCGGTTTAAAAATCATGTTGCTACGTTCTTTATTTTAGATGGGAACTACGGCCCAGAGGACCCTTTCTCGAAAGTCCCGGTAACTTTTCGGGACCGAAATCAAATATTCAAATCGAAATATAAAGAATAAGAGCGCGGGTCCTGACTAGCAAACTACTCCATTTTGTTTCATTAACTGATAGTTTAATCATGTTAGTTGCAAAACTATTGAAACCTCTATCTTGCATGTAAACCAAAACAGCTTTACGTGCCCGTTAATTATCGGGACTTTATCGAGAAACGAGCCCCAGGTGTGGTAAAAAGTGAGCTAAATGTTGCATGTTCTCTGGCGGTAGCGTAAGCGTTTCCGCTGTTGCACTATCGACACGGACACACACCCGCTCCAATTAGATTTGTCCGCAGACATTTCACGTTTGAGATCATTGCTGGACAGACAGCTTGACCAAAAAAACGCTTAACTTGAACTTAATTGACCCTTGTACTTTTGCAATTATCCTGAAAAAAAAAGCAAATAGCCTGCATATCAAGCTTTTTCGCTCAAGTTCTTGCGCGAAAGTTGGAGCGAGAACAAAAAAATTGGAAGGCGGGGGTGGGAAGAAAAGTACAATTTTCTCCCCTCTGTCCAACCAGGCTAAGAAGCAAACAGACAGCAAATTGCTTACGACATCGCTAAAAATAAAAACTCTTACTGTATCCCCCCGCTCTCCTCGCTTTCCGGGAGCTCCTGCCGTTCCATCTTGGCCCTGTATAAGTCAAAATGATAATTATATAAAAAAAAAAAAACAAGCAAAAGCCTCGAGCCCCAACAAGTACAACTGATGACTGTTTTACCTTTAGTACACTGAAGGTTCAAAGCTCAAGAGCCGCAAATAACAATTGGTCATCGGACAATCGGCTATGACGTCCAGGCAAAGTTCAAGGGAGTGTATCAAGGTTGTCTAGTTCCTTTATTTGCCAAGGAACTTGACAAAAGCGAAACATTTAATAGTAAAAAAGAAGAGACGGGTGCATTTGTAAGTTACTGTCGTTACAGTGAAGTCCACTTTTGTCCAGAGTCTTCCTTGTAATGGCCTTTTTACGGCTATAATGACTGTGCCTGATTACAAACTCATGTAACTGGTAGTTTTCTAGATAGTGTGAGTTTTTACCTTGGATCCTTGTAAACCTGGATTTCCGACAGGGCCAGGTGCACCGTCATTACCCTGCAATTAATCAATATGTTCGTTAGAGAGAAACCTCAATAATGCTACGGAGCAATGTGATAACGTTGGCTGATTAAGGTTCATTCTGAGATAATAAAAAAAATCCAAAACGATTAACTTTCCTGTTCCAGGTCATGCAGATGTATAAAGAAGAAATCCGAAACATTTCAGGGCCGGAGCAAGAAAAGGAGGAGGTAAGCTCGTTAAGAACGTAGAGATATTTTGAATGAGTAATGAAACAATTACTCAATTCGGCTTTTCAAGAATTATGCTGATCTCAGACGCTGCTATCCACTTCGGCCGAACACTCTCCTCGATCTGCATAATTCTTCCCATCATACTCAGTCTCATTCAATAATTATAAACCGTAAACTGTCCATCCACGATGACGTTGAATAAATGGACTCAAAACGATAAGGGATCGTGACCCGTTACTTCGTCGCGAAGTCAGCTGCGAAAATAAATTGCAAATAGGCAAAAAAAGAATGACGGTAAATTTTAAGCTCGGTGAAGAAATGAGAAATGACGTGACCAACATGTCATGAGCACGGGACAAAGAAAACATCTGAGTCCCTGACACCTTCCGTCAGTGGTTAAGGCATCTGACTGGTGTGACACCAGTCACATGCCCTAACCACTGAGCTACGAAGGACTCGTAGCGAGCTCGGCCATATACAAGGTTCATGTATGACATGCGTCCTGCGTACAGCAATGTCGAAATCGTCGTGTTTGTGGTAAAGAAAGAAATAGGCAGTTGGTGGAAACTTATCATTAAAAGTGCACTGTACTCACAGAGGCGCCGTCTTTTCCAGTATCTCCAGGCAGACCTGGGCTACCTTTTGACCCCTGAAAACAATAACAAAGTGAGTGCAAGTCTTTTCTAATCACCTTAAAATCAAATTCTATGCGAAAAAAAAAAAAGATGATAGCAAATGTCTTATTTGTTAATCTCGTTTCCTTTTCTCGTCTCGGGTGAGGCGAAGATGAAAGAGAGCTCGTATACACCAGCACCAGTGATCGGTGATAGGGTGAAAAACTTCATAGTTCTGGGCATTTCAAATATTTTGGCAGTGTTTTCTGCGTGTAGTTTTTAGGTTTCTCATCCTACTTTGTTTCTATTGTTTGGCATGGAGGAGCAACCAGAATTTGTAAGCTCAAACACTTTTGCTGGTACACTTTGGTTTAGATACTTGTTTTCTTTTGTTGTTGTTCTGTTTCTTTTTTCACTGATATCCTCATTTTCGAGCTTACCACTTAGTTAACTTAACTTACTTATATTGGTCAGTGTAATTTTACTCGATGACAGTAATTTTGGTACTTTGATTTTTTACCAGGGGAATGACATGGCAAAATAATTAGGAGCTGCGATATTCATTGGTCATATCTTCTGTAAGAGACCAACATAATGCTCATATGCTGCACCGAAAAAACCTTAAACGTCTTTGTTAAGCTCGCCATTTGGGCCCATAAAAACTCTATAGAGCGTTTTCACTCCCGTGGCCAGCATCTATGCAAATTATTGGAACAAAAGAAAGTGTTAACTTAAGAAAAGATTTCAACTCTCATAGGGCTGGTTTAGGACACCAACATGGCCGCCTTTTCATTGTTTCGGAACACCAATGTGGCCTACGTGACGTCATGTGAAAGCGCTCCATATACGACTCTTAAACGTACGAAATGACGGCCATACTTCTACGTTTGCAATGACACACAATCTGTACCTACGGAGGAGGAATATTCTGGTCCTAAAGGAGACACCTCACGGGTCGTTTTACAATGAATCCAATAGGATTGTCACTGAATAGCCTGAGAAAACAGTCAACATTTCGTGACGCCACCACTGGTTCCCCCGAGAAATGACGTCTGAGAAACACCGGGTGTTCACTAGGCATCGAAGATCGGAGAATTAGCTGTTTACTTCGAAGACTTCTCCCTCTAACGTTCTGTAGCCTATGACTACTTTTTATTCAGACGTGCAGCCTTTTTCAAAATATTCTCCTGTAAACGGTCCACCGTTCTCCTGCTACTAGAATTCTTAATGAAGACCATGCTGAAAACGAGTGAGGAAATTCCATACTGATGACGCGACACTACCCAGATCTGGGTAGTGCTGATTGGTTGAAAATTTACTTAAACATCTATCAGGCTAGTCAATGAAATACAGCGAAACCTCAAAATAACGAACCCTTATATAATGAGGCCCTCGGTATAACGAACGGTGTTTTTCGCCTCAGTAATAGTAAAATCATCTGAAATAGAACCTCGATCAATATAACGAAACCTCGTTATAGCCGCAACAGATTTTGACAGTCTCTCAGCATTTCGTTAACCCTTTAAGTCCCAATAGTGACTAACGTCAATTTTCTCCTAACAATGTCCATACAATGTCAAGAGATTAGGTTATGAGAATTAATAAAATGATCACCTAAGGGAAAATGCCTTGATCTTTTATTAAATTCTCTCAACTCATTCATGAAGGAAATGTATGGAGATCAGTTTGGAGAATTTGTATGTGGCTATTGGGGCTTAAAGGGTTATATCGAGGCTCCACAGTACTAAATATAGGTCATGTGTATGCACTGCAGATGCTGTCACTCACTTAAAAAAAGAAGTTGTAAGAAATCCAAATAAAAGGCAAATGTACTTACAGCCTCCCCCTTTCGACCAGAATATCCAGGCAAACCAGGCATTCCAGGTAATCCCTGTAAGAGAAGATAATTAGAATGACCTTTTAATCGATACCTCAATAGACTGTTATTGTTATTATTATCATTGATAATGACTACAAATTTGCCGAGTTTCACAGAAAAAATGTTCTTCATAAAATGGACCTCATAATGTAAGGGCAGTGATAATTATACAAACGAGTTTGAATACAACAATCTATGCGCCGGCACGAAAACCGTACCGGGTCGGGCTTCTGCTCGCGCATAAGAACGGTGTTTTCGGTGCGATTTCTGTAACGAAGCGAAGCTGTGCCCCGCCGATCTCCAAAGTAAAGAGTCACATATCGGATAGGTGTTCACATTATAACGGATAGCTTTACGTGTATCCGGTATAGTGTCAATGTGAGCATAGCCTTAACGTTTTTAAAGGTGTACTAAAACTGAAACTGGTGTTACTTTCTATTATACTGTCCGCGCCATTTGTAAACATAATTTCACTCAAGCGCGGAGCATTTGCAAGAGCGAAAAGACGGTTATTATTTTGGGGGAAATGCAACAATAGTTTCATTAACTTATTATTTTAAAAATCCTTGTTGTAAAATTCCACTAAATAAAACAAAAAACGCCTCAGACATTTGACCGCGGTGGAAATGCAAAAGCACTGCTTTAGTCTTACTGGCCTGTTAAAGTGTTCAGATAGTGGAGTGCGGAGGAAATAGAAAAACGGGAGAAAGGAAGAGGACGAGAAGAGGAATGGATAGTTCTTTCACTCTCTCCCTCTCTCTCTCTCTTTCCCTTCCCTAACCCCCCCCACCCCTTCCTGTTTTTTCTCTGCGCTGTCTCCACTATCTGAGCGCCTGTAATAGGCTAGTCTTACCGGTCCTCCCTCGGGCCCGGATTGTCCCATGGTTCCAGGACCTCCACGGTCTCCCTTTAAAAAAGAAAAAAACAACATCATTTTGTTTCCTAATTGTAGCCTGCAAACACGCGAGTCGCGTGTCGCTCGCGCGCGACTTCGCACTATATCCCCCGTATGGAGAGCTTGCTCGTAGGCTAGCTGTTATGATTTCCTTACCGAAAGAAAGGCGTTAAAAAAGGAATGATTGGTTAGAACTGTTGAGTTACGTAATGTTTTGGAATACCCAGGAGAGCTCACACAGAGATCCAGGTATATTTGCTACGGAGGGAAATCATTCTTTTCATTCCATAACAAGACATCCTAGGGAACTGAATCTGGACAGCTATATGCTGGTTCAATTTTGTTCTTGGTTCCAGTTTTATGTTCCTTTGTTTAAGAGTCATGCATTATTATACACTACCATGACTAAAAAAAGGGAAGATATAACTATATCCAAGGTTTACATTGAACCACTACATGTACATAATCAAATAAGCTCAATTTGAGAATGGCCAGATTGAATGGCCACCATAGCGAAAATGACCTGAAGAAAAATCACTTGATGCAAAACACTTTAAATAGACGAGGATAATAACGCAGAAACAAATAATGAAAAAGACAAGAGAGAAAAATGTAGGAGTCCTCGCGGCAGGATTTTCGTGGCTGGTCACCCAACCAGTTTCTAACCTCGACCGCCAGGGCTGCGAGATGCATATTTCTAGTACATAAATGGGACAAAAAAGGGTCAAACAAACACCGTTACTCCTTGTCATAACAAATGTCATGGGAGAAAGCACTCATTTGCAACAGGGAGCGTGGGCAACGACGACCACGACGACGACAGTGAAAACCTCGCTAAAAAATTAAGTTGCGTCCTTTCAAAATTTATCAAAATTGGACCCGCTCAATTTGTCAACTGTAGGCGATTTTTCCTGGACTTGAATTCTTAAGGACTTTATCTATGTTCAAAAAGAGAAGGGAAGATTCGTCGTCCTCAATAAAACGTCGCATTAGGAGGTTTCACGTTGTAGTCGTGCAGTGGACGTCAGAGAAATGTAACCAAAACCATGATCACACGTGCAAAGCGGTTGTTTTGTTCAATTTGTCGTTGTTGTGATTGCTTAAGCTCCCAAATATTGAAAACCGAACATTTGTTATTTGATAATAAAAGTTCCCCCAACAGATTTCTTTTGTCTGGATTTAAGCAAAGGTAATTAAATTTGACATAGACAGACCGGTAATCCGTCAACACCAGGTATTCCATTTTCGCCTTCTCTTCCCAGAGGTCCCTGTGAAAACATAAGTCAAGGGTTATGAAAATCACAAGGTGAATCTATTTTCATAGGCACACATCAGTTTATTTGCTCATGATGGGCATCAAAAATGTGCCAATATATGAAAAAGAAATAAGAACAAACAAACAAACAAAAAAAGTATAGAAGATAATCTCCAAAAATGACGATTTCGACTTGAGTTACAACTTTTCACATAACATAGTTCACTAAAAAGTTTTAGTATTTGAATTACGATGCCTGATTAAGTGTAAAACGCATACGGACAAAGAAACGTCTTGTGAAAAAAGTGACGACTGTCCGTGTTTTGCATATGAGAAAAGACTAAATTTTCTTCACAACCTAGTGATTCCAAAATTTTTCCTGAAAGACAAATGAATGCGAGACTGTGAGGAGTCGTTGAGATGTTTAACTGGCTGAAACAATCACGACCGCTTAGTTCTTACGCAAGCTTAGTCAAAAGGACTTTACACTTTACCTGTGACCCTGAAGGACCTTGTTCTCCCCTTGGTCCACGTTCACCCTAAAAATAAATTAATTAATCAATCAATCAATCAATCAATTAATAATAATAATAATAATAATAATAATAATAATAGTAATAATAATAATAATAATAAAAATAACAATAGTGACGATAAAGATGACCATGATGATGATGGTGGTGGCGGTGGTAACGGTGATGAAAATTCAAAATTTAAAACAGCTGGTAAACCTAAACAAACTCTACGTTTTTTGGCTTTTTGAAGGCAATATGTAAGGAAAAATCAGCTGTTAATTATGTACTCCAGCATCGGTGGGAGGCAAAAACGCTAATTTTCTTGGAAACTGCCCACCTACCCCTCCCCTAAGCCAACATTTTGCCCTACGTGAGAAGTTAGTGTTAATGTTGGCTTAGGGGAGGGGTAGGTGGGTAGTTTCCCAGAAATGTATAATGATCCCTATACAAACTCTCCAGACTGATCTCCATACATTTCTTTGAAAATTACAGAGAGAATTTGATACGAAATCAAAGTATTTTCCATCTGGTGATTATTTAAACAATTCTCATCACCTTTGTTCTTGATCATATATTCATATTGTAGGGAGAAAATCGATGTTGATTACTCTCGGGAATTTAAGTTTCGACTCACCCTCTGCCCAGGTGTACCATCCTTGCCGCGTGTTCCAGGAATTCCCTAAAAGGACAAAAATGGTTCAACATGGAAGTTATTCATACAAAGAGAAGCTACTCGACTACATCTGGCCCTGCTTGATCAAACGCTTCAAAGCGCTACCCACCGGATAAGTCACTGTCCAGGGAATAAGTGTAAGAGAAACCAGTTGCGCTATCCAGTGAATAGTGATTTATCCAGTGGTTGAGTTTCCCACCTTTTGAACAACTGGGGCCTGAAGAAGTTCAATTCCAACCATTTAAAGTGCTTATGACATGAACTTTTTTCAAACTGATTTTGGTCTGAACTTTAAAAATGCCTCCCAAAAATTTATGGCCAACAGAAAAACGCTTTATCCTCTTCAGAAATGTCCCAGAGACTGGGGACGAGTAGAGGATCAAAGAAAGGCCGATGACGTCATGTGACGCCAGTTGATTGGCTCATCCTTCGCTTCCGATTCTTCTCATTGCTTTAGGTTTTGTGGAATTAAGCGATGTATCTGACTGTAACGAAGGTATAGCGAAGTATATGAAGATTCTGAAGATGATTGTAGGAGTTGCCGACGACTATCCTTATATGCCATCATGCCACCTAGCATAAGTTTAAAAACTGCAGGAGGGCGAAACATTATGAAACATTTTACAGATGAGCTTTAGAATCGATAACTTTTACCTTAACTTGTTGCCATATAACCTACCGGATTTCCCACTTTTCCAGGAGCACCAGATTGACCTTGAATGCCAGGTGGTCCCTGAACATATACATAAAAAAGATGATTAATATCAAGGCTACCACTTAGAGTTCTAATTGTAGGATAATTATGCAATTATTACGCAATTATAATTTAATATAATTATGCAATTATTACAAGTATGTAATTATCACACATTATCAAAAGTTCTTTCGGTTTTACTTTCCATTTTGTCTTTTAGATGAAATTAGAGAGCTTTAGATTTGAGGACGAGGGCGACTACGAGTACGAGATTTTCAAGTAACTTAAAGTTTGTTCGCGTACTCTCGAAAAATATTGAACCCGAAAAATCTTCATTGTACTATTTTTCACCTGAAAAATTAGTGCGCCTAGCTATCAAGAAAACTCAAGTCATGTTACCTACAATCACTGTCCAGTCAATATCTAATAACAATTTTTTACAATTAATTATTAATTATTTAATAATAGTTATTTACAAACCGGTGGTCCCTGGCTTCCTTGCATTCCTATATCACCTCTATCTCCTTGACGACCCTAAAAAGTAAATAAGTTATTTCAAGGCTACTGCTCTCCGGCTAATTTTAATGTAGTTCTAACGTAACTTCAACTTTATTTAATAAAAATAGTAATTACAACACAGACTGGCCTACAAAATAGCAATTGCGAATCTAGGCGTCCCAGTTAAAAGAAGAATAAAGTGAAAGGAGAGGAAAGGAAGGAAAAAAAATTCTTATTTCTATCATAGTTTTATTTTAATTACACTACATCTAGGGCAAAAAAGGAAAAAGGAATTGACGGAGAGCGGAAAGCATATAACTTTGTACAGAAATCACTTAACTGTTAATCCAACTTTTTCAATTATCAATGACGTCTCAATATAGTCATGTTCTCTTTTAACCCTTTCACTGCCAGAGTGTTTGATAGAGTTTTGTAGGGTGACTCTAACTCTTGAGTCTGTGGACGAAATCCTATGATGTGACCATTCAAATGAAAGCTCTCTTCCTGTACTTTCACATGGTGCTATTTATTTGGGATGTAGTTCTAACTTTTGAGTCTGTGGACAAAATCCTATGATGTGACCATTCAAATGAAAGCCCTCTGCCTGTACTTACACGTGATACTATCTATTTCTCAAACGTTTAGAGAATGAAAGTTGGAAATTTGGTCGAAATTTGCCTTTGGCCACGTTTGGCAGTGCAAGGGTTAAAGACATCGAAAAGCAACCCGTGCAGAACTTTCGTAACGAACCTGTGTTTGCGGACTATGATGTGACAATTCACTAAATTCCTTTCAAGTAGTAACTGAACATTCAACCATTTCTTCTTAGAGTAAAAGCAGTCATTTGGCATGGACAAAATATAACACACATTATAAACGGGAACCACAATTTTATTTAAAGTTTAGCACAGCATGTCAAATTATAACCGTTTACTTGAAAGAATAAAATCGTTTCATCACAAAACCCTTTACAAATTTAAAGGCACCCAAGACGTGTTTGAAAAGAAAGCCTACACTCTGATTTCTAAGGATCTATCGCATTATAAACTAAATTTTTACGCTTGTTTGAAAGATAGTTGATGACCTATCACGGGCAATTTACAATATATCGGTAGTCATGCATTCCATTTCTACTTTGGCACATGCACTAACATTAATAATATACTAATTCAACCTTACCGCTAAGCCAGGAGAACCTGGTTTGCCGGCCTCACCAAGCGCACCTCGCTCACCCTACAAAACAGTTACGGTACATCAACAAGTTGAAATAAAACAGAATAAAATGTACAAATCACATCAATTTTAGGTACGTGCAATTAGGCAGATTTTAACATTAGTAACTAATTTTGTTACATCACGATTGAAAGTATACTGCACATGTGATTTATGAAAAATATTGCTTCACTCAATGATAGAGTAGAACTTCGGTAACTCGGATTACTCGAATTCCTCGTTATCTCAAATTAAATCCTATTTTTCGTGGATTTCACCTCACTTTTCAGTCATTTTTACTCGGTTAACTCGAACTCGGATAACACGAATTCCCCGCAAACTCGAACTAAGTTTCCTTTTCCTTGATAACCGCTCCGATATCCGCTCGGATGCTATCCCATTAGCTCCACTTGTTGTATAATCGGTAAGAACACTAAAAATAACACTACAGCAATTTGATTCAAACTGGTGCAACGAATTGTCAAGTTTTATAACATTTTAATGTTTCTGATGAAATAAGTTAAATTTCAACTGCACTATACACTGTAGATCGCTGAAGCGCTGAAAAATCAGTAACTATCAAGATACGAGCAGTAACAAGAACTGCTGATAACTGTGCACTTCCAAAAATATCAAAATGTTATGATGATGACGATGATGATGAGGAGGAGAAGGAGGAGGAGGGCGACGACGACGATGATGATGACGCACCTACGACAACTGGGATTATTTTTTGGAAAGGATAACTTTAACCTAAACACGGCACTTTTGCTCATGATTCATCTATTATTTTTTAAGGAACATTTGTTACTGGGATTATTTCTGTCTTCATCTTCCACATTCTGGTCAACATTTCTATTTCCACATCTTTATACTTGGATGATTTTTCGAAAACCTTGGTGGAAGTATTTTTATCAGAGGGTATACATAAGCGCTTAGCACTGAAAAGTATAAGTGCTATATAAATATTTTATTATTTATTATTTATTATTATTATTTTACAGTACCTTGGATCAGAGGCTTACCTTGGATCCTTGAGGTCCCAAATCTCCGCGATCACCATCTCTACCCGTATTTCCCTACAAAATCAACAGCATTTTCATCAGAAGGCATCTTCTAGTTCTGGCCCTAGCACCTCAAAAGGTGGATAGCACAGGACAATTGGTTTCTCTAATACTTAGCCGCTGGACAGCGATTTTGGCAACTTCTAGTTCTGGCCCCATTCGTTCAAAAGGTGGATAACGCTATCCACCGGATCAATAGGAGATTGCACGATTGAGTTCCCTAATACTTAGCCCCGAGATAGGGATTTATCCTGAGAACAGCGCTATCTAACGTACGTTTGAACAACAAGGGCAAGTACTATACAACTGTCCCCCAAAGGGAAGGTAAATATTGATGGATAAAATACCGAGACGCCATATACCGACCCCGAGGGGGAGACTTTTTTGAGTATTTACCAAATCAGTTGGATAAAAATGAAAATTAGTTTTTGTAAAAGAAAGAGGTGGCTTAGGGAGAGCTCTGTTTGAGGCTTAATTGAGAGTATGTGGGAGATTTATCAAATGCATTTTCAAGACTTTGTTGTAAGTTCATTGAGGAAATATATTTTTTTACCTACCAGTAAAATACTACTTCTGCAGCTAAATAACTCAGAAATACTGTTCTACGAAAGGCCGCACTGTGCGTATGGGTGTAAATGATACTCTACAGCATCCAATGACCAATGCAACAACGGCAAGGACACCTACCTCAGCTCCTTTCATACCATTGAAACCCTCTGCTCCCGGCATACCAGGGACACCCTAAAAACAAGAACATCAAATAAAATTAAACTTTCATTTGTTTCAAATAAATACGACTGCAAATTTTCCTAAGGCAGAAAGCTGAGAGGACTAAACATTTCCAGGTCAGTAGCTGTTCAAGGACTTATTGTCTAAATATGGTTACATCTACCAGCAAAGACAAAACGTTTGAAACAAAGAAAAAAATTGCACTTAATATATTTTGAAAATTAAAAAAATATACCGTCTTCTACGTAGAATGTAACGTTTGCCAAGAAAACCTTATAGAAGGAAAAAGGTTCAATAGACTTCTTTCCTTGAAGCTTTTCCCCACAAAAAAGTTGAAACTTTTTTACCACGTAAATAAAGTTTAAGTTACTGAATCTAACATACAGCAGGTCCAGGAAGTCCAGCTCTACCACTTTCTCCATCCTGGCCCTTTGAAGGTAGAAAAGGAAAGCAGCATGAGGTTAATATCATTCATTGAAAATATCCTTGAGTCTTCTAGTCACGTTAAAACCACTGACAACAACAGGACGAATAAATTGAGAAGCAGGGTTACTGAGAAGTAACAAATCCCGCCAGTCGTTTCATATCCTTAGCACTTAATTCCAAACATACTAGCAGGGCATATCCAGTAAAACTAATATAAACTTTCGACCTGTGACCTGAATCTTAACGTGAATACAGTGTACCTATACTTGAAAGGTTACAAGTGAGCTTCGAGAAGGCCAAGTTTAACTTAAAACCCTTAAAAACGCCGGTCAACTTACTGGAGCTCCTTGTAAACCTGGCTTTCCACTTTTTCCCTGAGCACCTGGGTCACCCTAAAGAAATTGCCATTTCACGGAATTAGTAATCATTACAAAAAGTGACGTGAGGTGTGGGTCAGGAGACTCTGTGTGGCCCTGTGGTCAGAGTGCAAGTAGCTGATAACGCGGCGGTTCCGCGTTCAAGTCCAGCCTTGACTACTAGCTGTCCCACCAGCTGGATTGGGAGGATTTGTTTCACAGTAGACCTGATTAATTTGTTTACCAGCTTTATTTACCAGCTTTTCTGGACACAGGCCAACCCAGAGGGATGTGCACGAACGGGACTCAGGTCCCGTGCGAGGTGCCATCCCTACCCAATCCCACAACCCGTAAAGGTTGGCCACACCACCGGAGTCTACGACCCCTACTGTTTTCGAATAGTGATGGGGGTTCTTTACGTCCCACAAGAACAAATCAGTGAAAGTGCTGTGAGATGGGACCTACGGTTTCTCGTCCTTATCCGAGAAGACTAGAAAGTCTAACCATTTGCAGATGTCATTACAAAGGCAGCACTTTCTTCTCAGTTATTTAAAGACCATGAGTGTTGGTCCGGCCGGGGTTTGAACCCGCGACCTCTTGCTCGACAGACCGACGCTCTCCCAACTGAGCGAACCAGGCGGCGGTCGATTATCAGCTCCTCAGCCGCGCTTATATATAGCCCACTGGTTTGGCTCCTGGCGACCTTCTGGTATTATCTGAGAATTTAGGGGGGCCATTGTGAAAACTACCGGAACACAAGTAGTATATGACACCCTCAATTTTTCATCTTAAAATTAAGAGAGTGAGTTGAACATAAGCTGAGCCTGACCTTCAAAATGCAATTACAAAACAAATGCAGAGTTGAACTTGCCTAAGACACTACGTCCAAAATATGAACTTATCGTTCTTCACGAAACTAATAGTCTAAACTTCATTATGTTCCCAACGAGGAAAAATGTCATTAATTAAAATGGTTCATTGACAACTTAAACAACTGGAACTTAACCACGAAAAGCAAACAAACGCATTTACCACATATCAAAAATAAAAAAGCGCAGAGCAGGGCAGAGTAAAACACTTTTAGCTAGTGAAGGATGAGTCTCATCCAAATAGCAAGATTCAGATACTTACCCTTACGCCTGGTCGACCAGGATTTCCAGGTTCTCCTTGAGGTCCCTAAAAAATATTTATGCCTTTAAATGTAAGTAATTTTATATCTGAAAGCACCTGCAGGGTTCGCACTCTTTTGAGCTCTACAACTTCCATGACTCTCCATGACTGTTCCATGTCCATTTCAAGGTTTCCATGACCTTAGGACTTCCTGTCATTTTCCAAAACTTTCAAAAACTTCCGTTTTTAGGCTATTTTTTGACCTAATTCACTTTAACAGACACGAACTCTAATCTATTTAACTGACATAACTTTAATTTTCCAGGACTTTCCATGAACCACAATTAAATTCTATGACTTTCCAGGCATGGAAAATGAAATCTCGAATTTCATGACTTTGCAGGTTTTCCATGACCTGTACGAAATTCTGACCTGATACCTCCTCTGACTGAGCAAACTCAGATTTTGAGCAAAACAAGCAGTGCAGGCAAAGCAAAATACGGCGTACATGATTCATTCTTGCAAGATGATTTTGTTTCACCACTCAATTATTTCCTGATGATGATGTTAACTTTTTAATGTATTTACCCAACACTGCATGCACATACCAGTTCTCCTTTTAGTCCATCTTGTCCAGGTTGTCCATTTTTCCCACTATCGCCCTAAAAATGACAGTGGAAAACCTTTAAATAAAATCGGTTGCCTAGTTGAGCATATAAAATGCCCACTAGAAACAAAATAAGGAGAGACTAATAACGATTTTTAAGACGTTTTTCAACTGAATATTTTACTATCTACGTTATTCCTTTTCGCATAATTTTAGCCAATTAATTAATAAAATACTTATTCTTCAATTATTTGTATTTACCAGATGTAACAATAGCTCAATACAAAGCATTTTGGACTGCACTTAAAAAAATGTAGATATTTTAAATGACACTCTTAAACGCATATGCGAACTGAGTGTCGAAAGGCAAAAATAGCCATTTACAGAGCGGACACTCAAAAGAAGATTGTCCAATCACAATGTTTTCTGAAAACAAAAGATTCTCAAGTTTAGCAGACAGGCCAATAACCCATAAATTTGAGGGCTGATTTCTGAGTTGTCACTTAAGTTCAAACGGTTTTAAAAGTTTCGGTTGCATAGTTGAACCTTATAAGTTAATTTGTCCGTTCGCAAAAAAAAAATCTTGAGAATCGTTTGTTTCAGGCAACGTTCTGATAGGACGATCTCCTACCGGTTTAAGTGTCCGCACTGTAAGTATAGTACTCATAAAGAGCAAAAACTATTTTGGGGCTTTATAAAGCTGGGTTAGTTACTAATAAAAGCTATAACAAACAAATAGAAAGTATTATCATTCGAAGCAAATTTTTTTTTGTTTTCATTGGCCGAGACCCCACCACGTGACCTGCAAATAACTGCCTACAATTAATGGTCTGCTCATGCGCAATGCCGTCCAACTGTGTTTGGCTGCAAATAATATTCTGCACATGCCTAACTGTTAATTATTTTGAGGGACATGATCACCTTTGTAACCCAATCACAAATCTTATGTATTTAACTGTAGAATGATCTCTTAATACAAACTTATTTGTATTCATAACCTTTTTATATAGATGTCTTTTTTATGTTCTTTCATTTCATGAGTTTAATAAAGTAATGGGTGAGCGATCTGATCGGACTTTACAATGGCTTTCCTTTGACTCATTATTGTAAACACTGTCACCCACGCAGATCTTCTGCTCCTTTCTTATTTAGTTCTAGCTCCTTGGATAACGGTACAACTTATCCTACGCTCGAGAAACAAACAGTTCCTTGGCGGTATAGATTAAAGAAAGTCTTTTTTGAATGAAAAAAAGGGTCGAGAGCTGCTAGCAATGGCCGCAGACTGAGTAACACCATGGCAGGAATAAAACTAAACAAAGAGGAACATTATAAACACACATCTTTGTTCATTCAATTTGCCAAGTAAACGACCACTTTGCTGTAAGCACTTCACCCTACCTTGAGTCCTGGCCTCCCTTCCGCTCCTGTGTATCCACGGGTTCCAGAAGGTCCCTAAAAGCAAATCCAAACAGCCTTCTTTAGCATTTTTTGTAAACCAATTTGCAACAGAACATGTGGTCACACAAAGATCATTACGGACAACGTCACAGTAACTGATCAAGAGCCCTGTAAGATCCACTAAAAGGTGGTTGCTAGAAAGAATCTTCCTAATCTATTCACTTTCCACAGCAAATGAATGTGTTTAGTGGAGGTCTTACTCATGTTTTTGATTTTAGCTTGATTTAGCTTGGGTGTGAAAGGGTTATACGACAGACAAGACCATAATGTGAAGCCCAGTTGGGTCCATAAACGCGGTTTATAAGACTGAAGCTATGTTGATAGGACTGAAGCTATGTTATTCGGAACTCACGCTTGGCTTTCTGACGCAGATTTTGATATACTGTTTAAGAGCCGACCCATTAAGCGTGGTTTTGAATTCAAGTATTTAGGAGTTGTAATTGATGAACATATTTCTTGGAATTCTCATGTTGAGTATGTATTATCCCGAACAGTTCGTCGCTTAAGAGGCTTCAAAGACGTGCCGCTAAAATTGTTTCAAAAATGAGCGACAGTGACAGAGCTTTGAATTATCCTCAGTGGCAATCCCTGTTAACTAGACGAGAGAGCCATGTTAATGAACTTGTCAAAAGATGCATTAAAAGGACATTGCCCGCATTTTTTTAAAAACTATTTTACTTTTAAAAGTTCCGCCCACAATCAAATCACGAGGCAAATGAACATGTTGTACTTGCCTAGGGTTAGAACTGACTCAGCCAAAACCTCTCTTTATTACTGTGGTTCTGTAATTTTTAATAGGTTAAATTTTTCATGTTTTAACATTTTATTCATGTGCACTGTAACTGTATACAGTCCATATTTTAAGATTAACTTTTAGTATAATTTATTAATTTATTAGAGTATTTTAGTATGATTGTATAGTTTTTATTAGTTTTATCATTTTAATTTTTATCAGGGCCCCAATTGATAGCAGTGCTGAACGGACTACCCTGATATGAATAAATAAAGGTTTCTCTTTAGATAAAGCAGTGTTAGTGAAGCTTACCGTTGGACCTGGTGGACCAAGTTCGCCTGGAGACCCCCGCCTTCCGGGTTGTCCCTGTTTAACAGAAAAAGACGATTTGTCCCTAAATTCAACTCTGAGAACATAGTATGTAGTAATATTCACTTTGAGGAATATTGAAAACAAAGTCTCAATAACACTCGCATAGATTTTGCTCAAACTTAACCATAAAAAAAATAAGGCTGCTATTGGAGGAACAATAACAACAGTGAACGATTTTGGAAAGAACCTCCCAGTTCCAAGAAATATGAATATAAGTAAAATAGGTAATGATGTCATTACGTTGCTTTGACAACTTTGAGGTTAATAATGACACTGCTCAGAGAAACAGCAAATGAGAAGTAGCCGTGGTTAACTCGTATATTATTAGGAGGTGCGGATGGGCAGTTGACATGCGAATCGAGCTACCGTATTATTCGATTAACCGCCCTGGGCGCTTATTTAATTTATTGGACCTTAAGAGTGAGCGCTTATTCGAGGCTGGGCGTTTATTAAATTTCCAACATTTTCAGCAAGTGTAGCATGGTTATTTTGCAACAAAATAATAAATGGTAATAACAAAACGCGAAGATGTAACAAAGCAAGGTTTCTGTAAAATACTCTGAAGAAAACTCCGTCTTAGGGGAGGTCTCTTATTATTACTTATTCAGTTTTGGGGGGGTGGGACGGGGAAAGGGGTGGCGCTTATTTGAGTTTAAATGGGAGTGGGAGGGAGGTGGGGTGGGCGCTTATTCGAGGCTGGGCGCTTATTAACTTTTTTTGCCTTTAAGATAGGCGCTTATTCGAGGTGGGCGCTAATTCGATTTTGGGCGCTTATTCGAATAAACACGGTATTTACTCGTTTTCCTGCTTGACCGGGCTTGCCAGGTCCTCCGGTGGATCCCCGTGAACCCTAAAAAACAAATATTAAGGTGAATCAGTTCAGGCAACAGTTCTTTCAATAGTTCTGTTTTAAATGCAAACATCACCACAGATAAAGAAAGAAGTTCTGGGAGGAGGGGTCACAGATTGAAGGCACAGTTTTGAGAGCACTCGCCTCCCACATATGTGACCTGGGTTTGAGTCCCAGCGTCGACACCATATGTGGGTTAAGTTTACTGTTAGTTCTCTTCTCTGCTCCCAGAGGCTTTCTCCACGATCTCCAATTTTCCACTCTGCAATTCTATCAGGAAAGTGGAATCACTTGGAAACCAACGGTTTTATCAGTTCTTGAACCATCAAGTGTCAACCTAGCTTCCTCAAAAAAACAATCTTCAGGAGGCAAAGTGTAAAGTACCATATTGTATATCCTTGAATATTAACTTTCCTCACTAGTAAGTCCCTAAGTGACATCATATACTCTCACCATTCAATTGAAATCTTTTCAGGGGTTCTTTTACAGTACATGATGCTAATTATTTTACAAGGAATCATTATTTATTTTTGTTTGTGCAAGGGTAAATTATATTCATGTACAGACAAAGAACAGTAGTAGTACAAACCCCTGATCCTTTGGCACCTTCAAGACCTCGTCTTCCAGGTTTTCCTGGAGCTCCCTAAAATAGGAAAGCATTAGTTTCATAAATGAAAACAAAGTGACTCTAAATACATGTAGATGTGCAAAGCAGCGTTTGAAATATGATGAAGCTGAGGACTAAAATGAAACGCAGGACACATCGTGGAGAGCACTTGGCTTCCGTGAGTGTGGCGTGAGTTTGACACACTGTAGGTGGATTGTTTCAAAACATGGCTACAACTTTGAAATATTAAGGGGCCAAGAAGGTTAACATAATTTTTCTGCAAACCTGTTCACCGCGTCTTCCAGGATCACCAGGAACACCGGGGCGTCCCTAAAATCAAGCAGAATACAAGATTGAAAATGAAGGTTGCATCATGCAAGCTCCTTGTCTGCATTTTCACATTAGCACATGTACACTTTGAAGCATCACTGGTGTATCATCACATGACAGTTGTCATCCAGTAGGGTACTAGATTTTACAGGTGCTCGCAATCTTGTACAGTAGTTCTCCCTCAAATGAATCTCATGAATTATATATCGTTTGTCTACGCTTCACAAAGACTGTTTTTTTTTTTGGTATCAAGATGATACTTCAGGGTTCTCGTCTCCAAAGTCAGCTGAGAACAACGACTGACAAATGGGGCTCATCGACAGCTGTATATTTAAAAAAACAGAAACAGAAACATTAATAATCTCACTAACATCTGTTCCAGCATTTCCTGGTCGGCCAGAAGGACCCATTGGACCTGTTCCGCCCTAAGGTAAAGAAATGTCAAAATGTGAGAGTTATAATCTGTAAAACTGATACCCCTAACTTAAGACTAGAATTCAAATAGTGGCCAGCTTCTACAAGACATCCTTTTCTCTCCTGAGCACAATCAAAACAAATAGATATTAGATCAATAGATTATTTCATCTTAGTATTAAAAGGGGATGCTAGCACTTTGCTGTAACGGAAGCGGTGGAAATGTGATGTTCCCATCTTCTGAAAGCTTCCCAACCAGCTGAATGAAAAATACACTATTCACGGCAGTAGTTTTGCTTTTTGCGCACTAGCCATTTGCCATGGCAAAATTTTCCAGCAAACCTAATTTGAGCATTTGGTGCTAAAACTGCATATGACTGGAGCACTCATTTATCTTTAAGATGTTCCTGTACATGTTGTGCTGTAATTCCACATTATCAAATGAATTGTCACCTAAAAGGTTTTTCAACTGCTCAGGCGAAGACAGAAAATCAAATAAATCATTTCCATTTATTTACAGTCATTTACACTCCAGTCTTCACCGCCACTTTTTTTAATTCTGAAGTTAATTACCAACAAGATAAATCTTAACCTGTTCTCCTTTGGTTCCTGGGGCACCTGTTGCACCATTTTGACCTGGAGCTCCAGGCTCACCACGTCCCCCACGTTGTCCTTGGGGTCCTCTTGATCCCCTTCCTCCCATTGGACCTGGTGGTCCTGGTAAGCCATTGTTTCCCTTGGTCCCTATTGGACCAGCAGAGCCTTGGACACCATTTGTTCCTGGTGCTCCCTGCAATCACAGGTAAACGTTTAAACGGTTAACTTTCAACCAAATTGTACCAATAAAAGGCTGATCTCCACAACCTAAAGTTCATTCAGGATATCAATTAACTCCACCTCACATCTGACACACCCACTGCAGTAACATGCACGAGCGTTGATAAAGAATGTTCATCGGCATTTTCAGCGAACACTTAAGTCCATCACTGCCTTCATGCTGCTAAAACTGGTAAACCCTTCAGTTCTTGGGATACAGTTATGATAACTAAAATATTTCTGCACTCTCCAGTTTAAGCACTGGCAAGCAGTGAAAGAGACATACTATTTAACGATTTCTCTCATCATCAACCTCTTGCCTCTAGAATGGAAAATTAAGTTTAAGAAACGGTCCAGATAAGAACGATAGCAACAACGGCAACGAACATGTTGGAATGCAAAAAAGGTGCTTACGTTTCTATTGCCTGTACTTACTTCTGATTGGCTTAAACAGCAAAAGTTAACAAAACTTCATAAAGCGGTACATACATTCATCCTCACTTTCCAACCATCTTCCATATAACAAAATCTGGTCTCAGACTGAATAACAATTAAGAAATCCTATGTGGGGAACATGTAAAATTGCAAACTTTTCTTGGCTATTGTTTTCAACTCTTGTGATTGGTCAAAATCTTTTAACACAAAAAAACACCCTTTCAAAGTGGAGCGTAAATGCATTTTATTGCGTTAACGGCCTTCACGTATATTTATGCATTTTCTGTGTAAAAAATGAGAACATTCCTATGTGGGGAAAGCACCGTTGCCACATAACAAAAGAAATTGCTATCCACCTTATCCAGATCATTACTTAATAAGACAGACATGATTTATTTAGAGGTTTATTTTGTCTAAGATCGAAGCCTGCCCCTTTCGTGATCGATTTATTAATCCTCATAACCTTTTCCCTTGGTGTTATATTGATGTCGTTGGGAGAAAATGTATGTTGGTCACTCTTGGTACTTAAAGGGTTAACAAAGGAGAAGGGTTAACTGCCCACGCCTCTTTACAAAAGCACTGCTGCTTTCTTCAGTTAACTCTCAAGGCATGTCCTTTTGCGCACAGAAGGTGAAAGGTGATAACCAGTTTGTCTTTCTCCCATATCAGCTTTGTGACAAACACAAACCTCTCAACTCATGCTATGTACATTGAATTTTTTCTGTGTATATCAAGACAATGCACCAGGAACTATATTATGTACATTTGGCGTGATTATTCTTGGTGCCATGTCCGTTGAGAGTTCTTGAAGACTTCCTCCAAGATTACCAGATGCTCCTGGGCAGACTGTCCTAAGTTTGTCCTCTAGTATAAAGACAGAATTTAATTCCCCATACAAAGGGATGCTCAACAGGAGCTTGCGTCTTGATTTTATGAATTTTAAGGTAACAACTACATTACCAAGGAACAACAACAGTAAATATTCAAAACATTACTTACAGCAGGTCCTTGTGGTCCAGCAGATCCTTTGGGACCTGCGGTTCCCTTTTAAAAGAAATACCGTGGTTAAATAATTAACAATAATGCTGAAATACATAACATATTTTGTCAATAAAGGTGCCAAAGTTCTCTATTAATTTTCCATTGCCAGTAGGGAGTGACAAAAATATAGTAATAATTACAACGAGAAATATTGAAGAGTATAAAAACCAAGGAAGATAATGAAGATAAAGCAGACTGGGTAGCGTGCTATTGGTCTACATGGATAACAGCCTCCTACTGTTATTAGAATTAAGGCCATTGTTTTGGTTTTTTATTTATTGTTGTCAAAACCAATAACAGCCCTTATTGAAAACAGTTTACCTTTCCCCATAAACATAGCCCCAGGGGGTGACTATTGCGCACTTTCCTAAGGCAACATCTCTGTGAGACAAGAAATGAGCAGGCCAGGAGCCGTCGAGTGTTCACAGAGAGATGTTATCCACTGTTCTGCTGCTGGTTTGATTCATTACGTGTGATTACGGGAAAAATTGATTTCCCAAGTTGGTTAGCCAGTATCCTGGGAACCGAACATGATATTGGGATCATAGCTCACAAGGCTGCCTGGCTTGTTGTCTGAACTTAATGTCTAGACATCTCTACAGCAACAAAGCAAGCCAGCCCGGTTTAATTGTAATGAGCCCTTGTCTTGGCAAAACAATAACCACACTCCTACCAAGCAAGCCATTCTCAAGCACATAACTTCATCACTTTCACACTTTTCACACACAAAAAATGTGCCCTTACATTTGGGCCAGGATCACCACTTAGTCCCTGTCTTCCACGTGTACCTTGGTCTCCCTGTGAAGTTAAATAGGTACATCATACATTTAGTTTACGCCCTAGAAAGTGCAACGTACAGGGTTATATTCTCAAGCTGTTTGTGTCAACGAGTGAGGGCTTTTGACACAAACAAGTGAATATTATAACCCCGTACAAAGCACCTTCTATGACGTGAGCTGTTTATTACACATATCAGGAGAACTTTCACTGAAATAGTCTCCTAAATGTAACACATATTACACATATTATTATTATTTATCACAAGGTCAAAGCTTGTTTCCAATTAAGGGAATGGAATATCGGGATTAGAAGTACAAATGCAAAGTAATTTGTAATTAGTTGTGGTAAACCCAGCCTTTCAATCTCTACCATCCATGTATATTTATTATCCATAAATATTATAAGAAGTACATATGAGCTCAAAGACATGAATTTTATGTCTCCTGGCCAGAAAAGAATATTGTTTGAGCCAGCAGTCCATCATATCTTCTACACACTGCATGAGATCTTAGAAAGTGAAAGTTAAATCTGATTTTTTACTTCTCACAACACTTACCTTAGTGCCATCAATGCCACTTCTTCCTGGTATACCAGAGGGCCCCTAAAGCAAAAAAAGAAAGCTTAAATACATGCATAAGGAGGGGACAGTTTTTCAGCACACATGGTAGAAAAATTTTGGCAAAGTCACAAAGGATACCCAAATCACTAGTGACCTCGGTATACTCTGGGGTACCCACAACACTAAGTAAAAACATTATAATGAGAAGGGGATACAATAATGATTTGAGTAGGGGATAACCAAAACACTGGGATACCCCATACAGGGATACCCAAAATTCTGCAGGGTGAGACCTTGAAAAATAGGTGCAAACCTCCTTAAATACATTTTAATTTTTATAACTGGTTATGGTCAGCCTTTTCCCAAAAGAAAATGTTCCGGGTCTGTTTCCTGCAGTCTCTGTTCTGGTTCTAGTTCCGGTTCTTATTCCAGATTCCTGGCCGCCCAAAAAAGAGCAACATTATTTAATTTATTATATAAACTGCAGTGTTTTACAAGGATTTCTACCACTGAGAAATGTGGTATCTGAACACACGTAAAAATACGATATTTTTACATGTGAAGATATCGATAATTTCACTGACATCAGGTTTGTCTCTTAAATTGTACTTAAATTCGTTGGTGTATCGTCAAAACATCTTCGGGTCTTCCTCGAAAGTGCTCGACCACCTTCGGAAATCTTCGGAAATTTTCGGAAATTCTCGGAAAATGTTCGGGAACGTTCGTCTGGTCTTCGGGACAATTTGAAAAATCTTCGGAAATCTTCGAAAGGTGGTCGGAAATCTTCGGAAAATCATCAAAAACGCCGTCATCAGTATGTTTATATAATAAAAAGAATATTACACGTTAGCTCGAAGATATGAATTTTATGTTCTCGTGGCAAGAGCAATATCTCACTCGCTCGCTGCGCTCACTCGTGAGATATTGTTCTTGCCACTCGAACATAAAATTCATATCTTCTCGCCACCGTGTAATATTCTCTATTTGTTTGGTTTCTAGTTTGATTAACGAGAGTTTGAGCAGTGCATTTTGTTCAACGTGAAGTTCAAAGTGAGGATTCTGACATCAAAGTTGAGCTTTAAAAAAAGGATAAGGATCTCTAAAATGACCTAGAGGTACACAAAATCTATAACTGTATATATGTACTACTGCTAATATATAGATTTAGCCAGGGCTAAAAGCGAGGCTCCCATTAATATATTTATAATTTAAATGAAACAATAAACTTGTATTCCACAATTCAGTTAACTTTAGAGCACATAGCAAATTCATGTGCCTTTTGAGGGAAAGGCTGAGTGATTTTAGAGAAAAATAATTTGCAAACAGCCTAAGAGTGAACAAAATCTTACATCAAGTTGATAGCCTTATATGTACACCCAAAAAATAGCAATCATCTTCGATCACATTTAGGAGCCATAATGGCTCTTGATCACCGTAAGATTAATTAGGCCTGGGAAAAAAATCAGGCCGAATTTTTTTGCGTTCGACAAGTTTACTTTACAAAATCTTGCCAACAAATCCGGGTGCGTGTAAACCAACCTTTTATACTATTAATACACCACATCTGAGGTGAAACAGTACTATGAGGTACTGTTTTTATCATACAGACCTCGGACAGAATGCAGTATTTCACAATTTTGCAACACAAATTGCACTCATTCAATAAGGACGATCCAAGCACGCGTGGGCTTTTTAAACCGTTAAAAAAATTTCCAAAATCATATACAGCCAGCCGGTTCTCACTTTTGCAGTGCGAACTGTAGCAAGTGTTTGAACGAACATACTAGAGTTAAGCTACAACTTAATAAAGAAATTATTATGTTTATTCAGTTTTATTAAATGGTTTTATCGATGTGTAATCTTTAAAAGCGCCGGTTTGATACCCGCGGCACTGTGAGTACTCCTGCAAGCGATGTTCACTGAACAACTGAAAACAAACGGCACGGCGATTAAAATTACAAGAGAGACTACCCACAATCAATAAAAGAAATATAATTCGGTGAAACATGTACAGAGACAACATTTTTCATTGACGAAGACAAGTATCAAAGTGTCTCTAAAAATCCTGAGTCTTCAAGCTTAACCTGAAAGCTTAAGTTTATGTTTTAAGCCGGCTTCCCGATATTTACTTTTTTCAAAGATGAACTCGAGGCAAGAAAATCGCTCAGAGCTTTCTTTTACAGCCAGAATTATAACTAAATGTTTTTTGGAACGTTTTCTTTCTATTTGCGGTGAGAAAATGTCTAAAGGCTTTTTAAAGTTCTGTAAGCTTATATCAAACCTGATTCTTGGTCATATCAAATTGTCTCAAATCTTACAAACGTGCACAAACTACATAGCCGCATAAACTGCGCTCGACTTCATTAAATTAGATATAAAAAACAAACATCAAATACAATAATTACTGAGGCTTACCATTCGACATGCAGCTCCTGAAAGGTATCAAGGAAGGCCAGTATCACTTCAGACTTTTCAACCCTTACGCATCAAGCAAGGTGAAAAGCGAAATCGATGCCATCGGAAATCGGATTCCCGACTTTGACAAGTAATGTACTATTTTCTCAACCAAAAACCAACTACCCATGAATAACAGAAGACTCCTGATAGCAGCTGAATTTCATTTTGTGCATCCAGTGGAAAAAGACAGTTAAAAACATCACAAGTTGACACAAAACTCTGTCAGCTTCAGCTGTCAAAGTAAACAAGATTCAAGATGCTGCATAAATTTTCCGCATGAGCTCACCTGTCAAATTTTGACCAATCAGAGCGTAAAAATTGGACGTAGAGCGTGACCAACGCGTGACCATGGTCAGCAAAGTCAAAAGCAACTGCCTTCCCCGCCTGTAATAGCTGGCTGGATTTTCGCATCCGAGGTCAGTTTTAAATCAATATTTTAATTGCGCGGCACAAAAACAAAACATATTTCATATGAAATAAAAAACAATCAAACTTGAGCCTGCGATCATTTGAAAACTAGTAACTTGTCAGCGGATAACTTCAATGGGTTAACACCTGAGCCCGCGATACGGTCAAGTGATACTGGTCAGCGGATACCCTGTTTTGACAGCTGTCAATTGATCACATTGATGTCCAATGGATGGGTGCATTATCAGTTTTCCTGTGCTCTCAAATTAGCTACCTAGAAAGTATGAGATTGAACATTGATTGCGAGCTAGTAAAACAACTGGTCAGCGGACAGCTTCCAAATAAATCACGTCACCTTGATGAGTTGACACATGAGCCCCCGATATGGCAATGTGATACTGGTCAGTGGCTATCCTGTTTTGACAGCTGTCAATTGACCATATTGTGAATGGCCAATATAAAAGATATGGGTTTGCCAAGACACACCTGAGACACCCCTCCCTTCCTTCTGATAGTCTACCCTACCCTACCCGTACAATCTGTAGACGCGTACGTACGTACGTACGCTCGGTCAGTCACGTGACAACCAAATGAAAAGAGGTTGACCATATTCTATGAGTATGGGGCTCTGTCCCACGCGCGCTTCGCGCACGAGTGAGCCCCGCTAAAACTAGACCACTTCTAGTCTAGCTAGTGGTGCCCAGGTGATTTTTGCTCATGTTCTGTTTGTCATAGTTTCTAGCATATAGATACAAGTATTTAAGCACTTGGAGAGATGACTCTGGACGAGTCAAACAGTTGTTATTGGAATATAGCAGGACAGAAGTTGTTCACCCGTTACAAAATTCTCTGTCCAATCCCATTTAATCCTTATCCCTACCACACCCACCACTGTTACCCCACTAAAAGCAAGCACTTACAGTAGGACCCTTCTCTCCTTGATCTCCTGGCTCCCCTCTCTCTCCTTGTGCACCCTACAGTCAGAACATAAAACACAACTGTTATTTAACTAAAATTTAAGGAGCTGTGTCACAACATTACTCAAAATTCATCTGGGATCCACCACCACATACAGTGAAACAAAAGATAACAGCTCAAAACATTATAAGAAGTTATAAATAAGACAACAAAATAAATATATACAAAAGGAGGCATGGATTGATGAACAAACTTGCCACTGTGGTTTTTGAGAACTTGTTAGCCCATTTGTTTTGTCAAAGTTTATCGTTCTTTTAATTGCGACCCTCCACAGGATTTTAGCCACTTTGGTGATGACACGCACCCAACATATTCACATGGTCAGACAAGAGAAGCAGGAGTTAACACGGAACGACCGTGTTAGGATTTTGCTCATTAAAAATTTCCTTTGTTTTAGACAACATGGTAGAAACAAGAGCCTTTGTGCGAGTAAATATAAACACGCATAACCTGCCAACGACAACACGTTTATCATGTCAACTACAACAACGTAATATATTGTCTGTTTGTCTGTAATACCTTGGAGACAAATTTGTTTGACAAGAAGAACTAATTTTGTCATTTAATTTTGCAAGTAATTTCTTTGCCAATGTAAACTTCCATTAATTGTGAATAAGAGTGTGTTTAATTGGCAATTAACAAATCTAATTAACAAAATGAACTAGACAGCCATGACAAAGACCCTTAAATATCAATCTGCAGCCTATAATAGTACCAAACATTTTTTCTCATAACAATTGACCTTCAAAAAGTCAATTTTATGAAAACCGGCACAGTCACAAACATAAGCTTTCATTACATGAAATCGCTAAGCCTCTCCACAAAATTGTCAAGATCATCTTATTTCTTTCACCATGATTAGGAGGGAAAGGGTTACTCCATAATAATTTAATAGTTTATCATATAAATTAAGCGAAGGCTTAAAGCGAAGCCTGCAGTTTATATAGTTTTCAACTGATCACAGGCTCAACTCTAAGTGAATTTCTTTAAAATGATTTTTATATGAATAATTTGTAACCATTGTAAAGAAATCCACTGGGAGTTGAGCCTGTGGTCAGCTGAAAGCTAGTAACTTGTCAGCACATACATGTAACCTCAATGGGTCGACACCTTGGATAATTATTTTATGGTCATGTCATACTGGTCAGTGGATAACATGTTTTGACAGCAGCCAATTGACCACAACAAGGATGTGCAATATCAGGTTGCAGACAAACTAGCCAGAAAGTAATTAAGACCTTTGACATTGGTTTTTGTATGGTGCAGATGGACAGACAGACAGATATACCATCAACTCACTCACAAAATTTCTCCGGTGGATGGATAACCAAATTTTCTTAAGCTGCATGTGTAATGCTTGCTCGAACGCGTGCCGAGCTCTGATTATTACTTGGCCCCTGGTCAGCTGCTGTATGCACTTACATATTATACAAGCCAAAAAAAATAATAATAATCCAGAATGGTTCTCACCATATCACCCTTAATTCCACGAAGTCCACGAACACCAGGAATACCAGGAGGTCCCTTTAAAAAGCAATTAGTAAAATGGAAATGAAATTAATGTTCTTCAGATACAAAGGTAGCTCGATCAGTGTCCCAAGAAAATGTTCTTGACAGTAAAATGTTAAAAGTTCCATTATAATACTTAGGGAGTGTTTGATTAATCATATTCCCGAATAAGAATATCTGGCAGGAATGAACTCTTGAAATCATCCTTTTTTGTGTTGAAATCTGCTTGAAATAAGATATCTCAATGATTGCAGCATTTAAGTTGCCAAAAAGCATGGCACATTAGAGATTTGCAACAAAACGTTTGGTTATTCTTCTTCTGGAATCATTTAATTAAATGCATTCTAACAATAGTTAGTTGAAAAGTGTAGTCGGTCACAAGTAGATTGGCTCAAAAAGCAAAGCTTGGTCTTGGATGATAAGGGTAATTCATCATATTCAACTAACATTTTTTCATTTCTACTAATGAAACACTTTTACACGTAAAAATGGCAATTGGTGCAAGTACAGACTCCTGGTACTGTAATTTAAATTGGGTGAATACTGTGGAAAGTGAATGCTGTCTCCAAGACAGTATACAGTGTAGCATTAGGGAAATTTCATTCATTATAAAAATTAAATGATAGTGTCATAACAACAATTCATTTAATTCTCCTTACAGCCTCTCCTATTGCACCGTTCTCTCCAGTATCTCCAGTAGCACCTGGTTGACCCTATCAAATACAAGCAGTTTTTGGTCAGCAACATTGTTCTGAAGTACTCCTCTTTAAACCAGAAATGATAATTATATAAAATCAAAAAACTGGCAGGAAGAGCCTACAGGTTGGAGTTTAAAAAGACATCTTCACTCTGGAAAGGACATTTTTTTCCTCAGACAAATCAAAAACATATACAAAAAAAATTATTTTTAATTATTTTGTAATTATTGCGTTCGAGGTAGGAGAACGCAACCCCTAATTTGTGTTGGGTGTTTTGTGCATTATTGGGTGTCCTGTGCAATAAGGGAGGTTTTTTCGAGATTGCATTCGTTGTCGTCGTCGTCGACACACATTTCCCTCACTTTGAGGTGCTTGCTTACATTTTGCCTCACGTTGTCGTGCTAACTCACGTGGTGATTCGTGTGTCCTCGGCATTCATCTTGCAAATGTTTGCTCATGTCCGCTATTCTGTCTTTGCAAATCGTTCATCTTTTAAAAGTGTTGTGAATCTCCGTAAAGCGTACATATTTAAGAGTTTGATGAAGGTCTACTATCAATCTGTGTTTAATGCACCTTCCAAAGCGTTCATCTTTCAAAAGTGTGCTGAAAGTTTACACCCTGAGTAAAATTTTACTTTGGATTAAGCCTTCATATTTTACTTCGGAAAACGTGTGCTACTCCTGGTGCATGCATCAAACCGGGTTGTTTAGCTCAGCGCCCGTTGTGCCACAAAGTAAATTTACCGGCGAGTTGTGAAGTTCAGCATCTGTTGTGCCACAAAGTAAATCTACTGAGTTGTGTAGCTAGGCGGCTGTAGTCCCACAGAGTAAATCTACCAAGTTGTGTAGCTCGGCAGCCATTATTCCACAAAGTAAATCTACCGAGATGTGAAGCTTGGCGGCGGCCACTATTCCACAAAGTAAATCTACCGAGACGTGAAGCTCGACAGCACCATTTCATCATGACTTGTGATATTTTTGGCACTGGACAAACGAACATTTTAGCTCTCTCTCTTTCGCCCGCTACTTCCAAGCGCCTGCTACGCAGGCTAGGTCTGTGTTATTTATTCGGAAAAACGTGACCAGCCCACAGTGGCCCCACTCAAGCCACTGAAATCAATACACTCCACCAAATTACTGGAAAAGTTATTGACGTGAGCCGCACACACATTCCACTAAAGGCTTTGATGATTCCCTTGAGACGTGTGAAACTGAGAGGTGTAGTGTAAGTCAACCAGTGTTCAAACACAATCATCGTGCCCCGGCATTCACCACAAAAATGTTGTCTTGGGTCGTTGTTTAATATCATCACAAGTTAAGAAGACTTGCCAGTAACGGTTTCCGGCATTTTATAGTAAATTTCAGTAATTGTCTACATGTGAAATTCCCAATATTAAATAAACTGTCAACTGTTTCCTTTTTAACAGTACTTTGGCCGGTTGTTCAAAGCTGGGTTAAGATAACCCAGGTGAGGAGGGTTAGTGCGAAATTTGAACTCAGAATAATGTAAAAGCTTCATTTTGCCAACAAGTTGATGATTGGATGCTCTCAAAAATAACTGAGAAAATTATCCAAAGAAATGTTTTTTTAGAAAAGAAAAAGAAACCCGGGTTAAGCATTGATCGGTCTTCGAACAACTGCGCCCAGTAGAACATCTATTGTGGCAGTAAAACAAAAAGATCTTTTTACACACCCAAAGCACTCTGGCCAGTGTCTCCTCAAACAACAAGCACTTGAGACAAACTATACAATATCACGCTGATCACTAGCCTTCAAAACCTTTTCATTATCATGCACAGTTTAAATCGAGGTTTCGCTGCACGCAACCATTACATTCAAATATGCCATAGTCATAGTTATCTATCGTAAGAACGATCCATCCTTTCCCCTCAACTGCTACCGGCATGCCTAGCAAACATATTGAACACCCTCTCCTAAGCTCCAATTACTCCTAGTTACAAAATTAAAACCATTATTACACTGATAGAAACCTAGAACTTGCTTGTTTCATTCAGGGTTGTCAGAAAGTTTTCAAGTAGACGGCTGAGTTGTCAAAGTAAGCGGCCAGTATGTCCAGGCATATTTTATTTAAAAAACGCCATCCGTAAAGAAATGCCAAGCAGAGTAGCCAGCGGATACTAACCAAGTAGGCAACAATTTTTACCGGAAGCAAGCTACTTTTGACAACCCCGTTGATTACTTTTTTGTCTGGAAAATTAGACCCCAAAATTATTGTCATTTTGCAGATTTTTACCATCATTAGTAATAAATAATACAACTTCCACTATCTAAATATTTTTCTCCATAAAATAATTATGTTTATCAAGGACCCAATTTGTATAAATAACCCAAGAAGAAGAAGCAATTTCATCTTCAAGTGATCATTTTACTTGAAGGGACTACGGCATTAGTTACAAGACAAACACCTTTTTAAGCCAGAGAGATTATTATAATATTAGACCTTTCTGCATTATATCCAACTTTTGACATGGACACAAGATAGGGAGAATCAACTGATGCCACTGGAAAGAGGGCCTTTAAATACTTTTGTTAGTAAAAATCCCAGGGGGGTACTCGGGATTTCAAGTGACGGGGATGATTGAATGGAGCCAAAAGTCAAGACCCAAAAAAATCCCTAGGGCTTCCAGCAAAACCCAAAAAAATCCCTGGACCAAAAATTGACCCCCAAAAAATCCCATGCCGATTTTGTGGCCCTTGAAAGTTCCAGAAAGGGGTAATGCTATAACACAAAGAAAAACATTGGAAATTGAACACTCGTGTTTGTTTATTCATCATACCATCTAAATATATCCTTCCCCTCATCTGATTCTTTTTAATACCCCCAAAAAATCCTTACTCAAATCGAGCTACCCAAGCCAAATTTTCGTACCCACAAAAATCCCGGAATCAAAAATTTCAAACCCAAAAAAATCCTTCGATCATCCCAGTCACTTGAAATCCCGAGTATCCCCCCTGGGGTAAAAATACCAAGTTTGAATGTGATTCCTCGAAAACTAATGAAGATATAGCTCAAATTTGTGAAATTTTACAGACAAAATTAAATTTTATAGTGGGGGTCACAAAATTGTCCCCACCATACCAATGTCTGTAAATTTTCCCAACTTTGCGGAGCTTAAGACTTATATCACCTTCAAACTTGGCACGTCTATTGTTGTAAGGTACTCTTTTCAGTGGTGGTGACAGATCTTCTCTGACTTTTCCATAAAAAAAAATGCCGCATTCAATTATTGATTCATTTATACATGTACTTACGTCATTGCCATCCCGGCCTGGTTCACCAGGGGAACCACTGGTTCCTTGTGAACCCTGCAAAACAAGCCAGGGTAAAAATAATTGTCAATAACGATAAAAATAATCATCAGGTTTATTTTGAGAGGGTGACTAATAATCACTATAGACTGAAACTTTAAACTCGGACACATTTAAATATTTGTTGTTTTCTTTGGAAAGAAAATTTTTCCTAATAATAATAATAAATATAATAATAATTAAAATAATGATGTGTCTTTTTTTTTTTATTAATAATAATAAAACAAAACTTTATTCATAGATTTAAAAAAATAGTTTATTTACAGATTCAAGAATATGAAATATTAAAATATATACCCTATGTACATTCTTCTTGTGTACGAAAGAGAATTGTCGTAAAATGACTATCTAAAGACTACTAATAACAATTATAAAAAGCATAAAAAAGTTAATAAAAAAAATAAAAGCTATTTAAAAATAATAATTCAAACTGATAAACTGTCTTTAATTTATTGATCATAAGATCTAATGTTACAAGAAAAAGGATGAAAAATTTCAGATTAACACAACAGAAAAAGAAAGTACATTGTATAACAAGATCTAAATTGTTAAAAATGTATATGTATTATTCTATACATAGAATCATCATAAAAGGTTGACCATATTTAAAAACTAATCATAGGTTAAATCAATCTTCTCTTGTGGTTAGGAGACCCTCAGGGGGTGGTTATCACACTGGTCTGTTTAACATTTTTCAAAATTCCTTTATCCTGTTTGTGAAGTTAACATCAAAACCTAACTTAATATGGCATCAGTCTAAAAATTGAGGTAAAATATTAAGATCCATGTTAGAGGCACCATGAACAGATAACCAGTATGTTAAGTTAGGGAATACATGTACAATGTTATAGAAAAGGTAATCATTGTAACACTCTTTTCTAAATACTCTTAGTACAGCTGTATGTGTAGACATTAATTTTGTTGGCTTTGCACAGTTTAGCTTTTGCATGTGCAGAGAACTTACAATCATTCTGAAAGGTCAAACCTAATGTTCCCACGTTTGCTGTGCTGCTATAGTGCTTCTCAGTATTGGTTAATAACTACATGGCCCAGCCCTTCTCGACAAAAATTATCCAAAACTCAACATAAATCCCAATGTTAAAAAACTGAATCATACTTTGTAAAAGTACAGTAAGGTTGCAAAAAAAAATAAAGGTCTTTATAAATAGAGGGAGGAAAGAAAGGCAGGGACCAACTCTAGGTGTCCGTTTTACAGAGGCGTCCACCTTATAGAGGTGTCCGTTAAGAGAGAGTCGACTGTACATGTATTTTCTTGAATGAGAAACATACTCTTCTGTTCTAAATTTAGTCCCCAAAACACTGGAAATCAAATTTTCAGGCTCTGAAATTCTAAGAGTTTCTTTTCTTTTTTTTATTAGTTTTGCCAAAAAAACAAACAAACAAACAAATAGAAAGAACATTGGCAGGCTAGGGACACTGCAACAGCTGTGACCAATTACAGTGGGCCCGGATACTAATAACAACAACAACAACAACAACACTTTATTTCACCCCATAATATACAAGAAATAAAAATTTATAACAATAGTACAGATGATGATAGGGGTGCAAGAAATATTAAAAAACACAGCGATAAAAGAAAAACTACAGCTACATATATACAACAAGTTATTGGACAAGACAAGGGACGAGCACTATTACATTTTAAACAGATAGACTTGAACGAACGTGGGTCTTCACAATAATAGGAAACAGCTAACGCGGAGCAAGCTCCCAGAGCCCTCTAAAAGAAGCGGACAAACAGCTACAGTCCATTACTCTATTCAAACCTACTGGTTAATTCAGTTATTATTGAAACCCCTGATTTAAAATCAATTCTTGGGACCTGGAAAGGATGCGGCCTACTGCGTAGATCATCAAGGGGATGCCAGCAATTACCCATGATACATGTACTATAATCCCTCTCTTTAACAACCTAATGGATGGTTATCAATTGTTGAATGCACCTAAATCTAACCTATCAATGTGACATAAATATTGTATGTAAGCAGCAACACCCGAAACACAGATGCAGTAAATAACAAGTGAGATAATGAGAGTTAAAAAAATAGGCAATAAAGGCGAGATCATAATAATTATGATCTCGCCTTTATTGCCTATTTTTTTAAAGTAGAATGGTTGGGAAACCCTTTGCTATATGTTTTCATTAGCTTTTTTGGACCTCCGACCGTGCACAAATTACAAAGGATTGTGCACAGTCAGGGAGCTTCCAACATAACCTACAGCACCGTTGCTTTCAACTTTGATGGTTGCCGGCTTTCCTAACCAGTCTCCTCTACTATGGTGAGATACACTGAACAGTCACACCACGGGATTCCACTCACACACTCAGAACATACATTTGACTGCTTGATAATCGCATCATCATTTTAATAATAGTAATGTTACTTTTTTCTTTTTAATAATAATTATGATTGTTTTATCCAATACTCAACACTTAGATATTGGATAAAACATGCAAAGTCTTATGTTTGATATAACAATAATTTACTAATGCTTAAAAATAATTAATGTGACATACCGCTAGACCTGAGGCTCCAATAGGACCTGTCTCGCCAAGTTCCCCTTGAATACCCTAAAGGCAACAAGAACTGACTATTACGAGGTGAATAAACAACAGACAAAAAACACTGAAAAAATGCACCCCTGAACTGGTGGTTAAGACTCATTGCAGGTATAAAGTTCAAAATTGGCACGGACAAAATAATTATGTACACTTTAGTGTAATTTATAAGACATTACTTTTATTAGGTTGAACTATTTTGAATTTGGAGTCAAAATCTAGTAATAAGATTTTCTTACGTATTTCCAAACATGACAGTTCTTTATGATTAGTATAGTAATCTTCATTTTCTTTGTTCAACTTCTAACTTCAGATTTCTCATTGATTGAAATGCCACAAATAAGAGGAATTCCAAGAAATTTTGTCCTTCTAATCAGTAGATTTTGGTATGTTGTTATTTGTTTACCTTGCCAATGAAATGGGGGGGGGGGGGGGGGGGCGGGGTTAATGACTTTTGAACTAGTATATATACATTCTAGATACAGCTTGCCCAAAATTGTATGTCTTTTACTGGTATGGCAACCATTATAAAATTTTAGGTTGCCAAAAGGTGACTACTGAAAAAGTTGAGGTTGGAGCACCACCACTGGATCACAATTCCAGCATCATGGCCAGCCTTAGTGTTAATGTTAATGTTTTAGTATTCAGGTTGTAACTCACATCAGGTCCTCTGGCACCTGGTGGTCCACTCGCACCTTGTGGTCCCTATGATGTTGATAACAAATGGATATGAAGTGAATCAAGTAAACTTTATGAATTAGGATTATAGTCAAACCCCAGTTTACTGACACCCGGCTTAACCCTTTAAGTTCCAATAGTGACCAACATCACTTTTCTCCTAACAATATTCAGTGTTCTCACCAGGCCGCGGCCTTGCAGGATTCCCGCAAGAAAAAACTGAAATGGCGCATTAAAACCAAGAAGATGCGCCCGTTAGGGCGCAGGGGCAAGCTACCAGTCAAACCGACTTAAGTAGTTTTAATGGTCACCCTAACACTAAAGCATTCTGTTTGTCTGAATAAATAAAAAAACATGATATCAAATGAGTCAAAGTCTTTAATTTTGTTGCCTTTACTTTCATTGGTCCCACGCACGTCCCACTACATCGTAAACTCCTCCTCCGAATCGTAAACACCTCTTCCGCCATATTGGATCAGGTAGGTACTTCATGTAACAGACAATTTGGAGTGCGGGCTCAGGTTCTTCGTACCGCGTGTTTTTTGTAACTTTGTCCCCCTAATGTTCTTACAGGGCCCCTATTTCTCAGAAGAGGGGGCCCTGGGACTCCCCAAGGCAAAATCCTGGTGAGAACACTGAATATTCATAGATTGTCACGAGATTAGGCTATGAGAATTAATAAAATGATCACTTGAGAGAAAATGCTTTGATCTTTTATCAAATTCTCTAAACTCATTCTTTAAGGAAATAATAGGGATCAGTTTGGAGAAATTGTATATGGATATTGGGACTTAAAGGGTTAATATGGACACCGCTGATTACATGTATTTAGGACAGATTGCTTTGTCCCTGGGGAAAGAAAGCCGTAACATTTCTCTCAAAATTCAACCCACTTATTTAATATGGACACCCTGTTAACATGGACACAGTGTCTATAATAATGGGGATTGACTGTATTATAATAAAATATTATTACCAAGAAACAATGATCAGAGGTACACTGTAGAATGCAAGCCAAAAGAACAAACCACAGCCATTAGACTTTGCTAAAAATCCCAAAAAGGAAATCTTAAATAAGGGTGGACAGAATCCAATTAAGCTAGTGATGATGATGGCTGATCACAGCAGGTACAAAAAAAAAAAAGGTCAGAGGTAGGTCACAAGTGGAAGTCACTAGCTTAATTCTCTATCAATAAATAACTGTGAGATAAGCAGTTTCCCCTTAAGCCAATACTCTATTCAGGGTGCAAAGAAAGTCATTTTTACAGCTTGCCAATTGGGCAAGCTGAGCTAACATTTACTAGCCCAAACATCATTTCAACTGAAAACCCAAAAACGTTTTGATGAGCAGATTGATTTCAAAGTTCTTCTGTAATTTGAATTCCTCAAAAAACTTCACTTCCCCGACGGGCAAGTTAATAACAAAATTCACTAGCCCGATAGCAAAATCCACTAGCCCTGGGCTATTGGACACTGCTTTCTTTCCATGCTGCTATTTCAGATTGGCAATTACAGGGTTTGTACTCTTTTCAGGTCTTCAATTTCCATGACTTTTTCATGACCTAAAGTTCATCTAAAACTTTCCAAAAAATTCAAAACTTTCCTTAACTCAGGGTATTGTTTGACCTAACTGTTTGCACTGCTTAATTACTTGTCTCTATCGTACAGTGTCCTTGTATCTGCAAAAGCAAATCTACCAAACAAAACTTTAATTTTCCATGACTTTGCAGGCCTGGAAAATGAAATCCTTAAATTTTAGGACTTTCCAGGTTTTTCCATGCCCTCTACAAACCAGGTCCTGGTTGTTCAAACGTTGGATAGCGCTATCCGCCGGATAAATAACTATCCACTGGATAAGTATTATGGAAATTAATTACGCTATCCGCTGGATAGTGATTTATCCGGTGGATAGCACTAACCAACGTTTGAACAACTGGGGCCAGGTGGATTTATAGGGCTTGAAACACTTAAAAGTGTTGTTTATTAACTGTAGCACAGTAATCAGTACTCTACTCTGACTTGTGGCCAGTGCATGACTGTGCATTTTGTACACATACAGTGTAGCTGGCACTTAATGTAATTGTTAAAGTATAAAATCCTTTTCATCATCATCAAGTCTCATCATGCCAGAAGGCGCATAAAAAAAGGCCTCATATTTATCAACATAAAATTATGATGAGCACAAAGATGTGATAGTAAATCACACTGTTTAGAGATCAAGACAGAGTACAGATAAACTTGACAGTACATGTAATAATTTACAACTTACTACTTCCAGTTTACATGGTAGTCATTTATTTTATACCTCATCTTCACAAGACAAATTAATTATTCCAAAATAACGCTAGATATATTTCTCACTAGACAATGATCATACTGCTGTCAGTACTGTGTACAATTCTATCTTCTCCTACCTACAACTCAACCCACTAAGAAAAAATCATCCCAGGGGACTTCACCTTAAGCCCCAATATCCACATACAAATTCTCTAGACTGAACTCTACACATTTCCTTACAGAATTAGTTGAGACAATTTGATAACAGATCAAAGCAATTTTCTGTATGGTGATCATCTTAATAATTCTCATAGCCTCTTCTCCTGGTTATGTAATGAGAAAATTGATGTTAATCACAGTAAGGACTCACAGCCACATAATACAAGAAAAACTAAATTTTTTAGAAAAGGACAAAAAAGAACATACCGGAGAACCTTTCTCTCCACGAATTTCTTGAATGACTGTTCCAGGCCCCTTAGAGTCGCTTGGCCGTATTATCTACATTGTTATAAAAAGCATTAAAAATGAAATAAAAATAAGGACATTGCACATTTTATAAATAAATAAAATTATGAACAAGAAGTGATTTTGAAAAGCATTTAACTATTAAAAATTGCGATAAAACATTTCTTAAAATCATTTTAAGATTAAAAAATTGCTAAAAAGCGACGACGTTTCGACGTTAGCTGAACGTCATTATCAAGTCAAAATAAGTTAGTGATTTTTGGTCTATAAATACTAAAAAAAAACAACAATAGCTGATTAAAAAATTGTAACGTGAGAAAATATTAAACAAAGAGTTTCGCACGTATGGAGTCCGTCTGAATATTTAAATTGGGCTTAAGCTTCTTGATGAAGAGCATTTCAAATACTAAACAATCAAATTTGCTCTGGCACTTTCTTAAAACCGTGAATTGGCTTTCTCTCAAAAGGTTGTTGTTACCGTGAGCTTCTAAGAAATGTCTACCGATTGCCGAATTTTTGTGCTCAGCAATGCGTAATCTTAAAATGATTTTAAGAAATGTTTTATCGCAATTTTTTATAGTTAAATAAAATTATGATAATAAAAATATTTATGATAAAGATGTGTCTTCAAAACCATTTTGTCATGACCACATCTTTCATCATTATTCTTGTGAGTGGCTTCCTGTTTATTTACAATGTTCTTTGCATGAAAAATATAAAAATGTACTTAAACATAGCATGCATATACTTCCTATTTTTTATTTTATTATTTTTTATCATTTACATAATATATTGGCAATTTGCCGAATCTATAATAAAATAAAGAAGGAGTGAAGCCCCGTATCAGACACCTTATCTGGATCAAAATAATAATTAATACATTGTACATGTACAGTCCGACCTCCCATACACGCATGTAAGGAACAACATGTTAGCCTCCCACACAGGCCTTTTTAAGGGAGCTCGTCTTCCATCCCTTCCCACAAATGCCTGCTCAACAGAGAACAACATTCCTTTCCCATTGTTTTATTCGCGTGGTACGTGACTAATCAACAGTTCTGAAAAAAGTGTTCACAGGACAAACACGACTCATAACCTTGTAGTAGTGTAAAAACGTGACCCCGGAGTTTCCTTTTTCCTTCTTTTCTTTTCTTCGCTAGGGTTATGCAGTACATGGAGTATTGTAAAATCTGACTAAATCTTACTTTTTCCGCTCTGTCTAACATTTATTGGAGGTCATAAAGCTTTCCTTGTGTGTCGTGCAGATTGAGTAATTATCAGGTGACCCTGTGGTCAAGGTCAACTTTCCAGAATTTGGAAAGTACAATGTCATTGGCTAAGCTTGGGAAAGGAATGTCATTCTCGGTTGAGCAGGCGTTTGTGGGGAGGGACGAAACACGAGCTCCCCTAAAATCGCCTGTGTGGGAGGCTACAACATGTAAGCAACAACCAAAAATGCTTAACAATGTATGGGAGGTGGTCATGTATGCCCAGGGGTGGGGGCCTCTGGATTTCAAGTAACGGGTTGGGGATGATTGAGTGACAGGTATGACCGAAGTGGGCAAGTTTTATCAAAGACTTTCTTACATGTCCGACACCCAGTGGCCCTGCGTCTGGACCTCCAGGTGTTGGCAAGGCCAAAATGGATCCCGGTGGTCCAGGGTATCCTTGAGGTCCCGGTACGCCTGTGTCACCCTTGCTACCAGCAGCACCAGCAGAACCCTAAAAATTTTGAAATAAAAAAATAATAATGTTACGATATAATTTTATACAGCACAACTGTCTATAAAAATGATCAAGAACGTGAGTACAATTTTTAAGCATTATATTCTTAAAGCCACAAAATTTACAATGATTGCTAAAATTATAAAACAAAGTATATATACATGTACAAAATAATCACTAAAAGGCTTACATAAAATAATACATGTATATACATAATAAATATTTTTTTATTTGAATTCAAATATAATTTGTCTGTTTTGGTTTTCCTACTCTCCTAGGTTAAGAAAATAGATCTCCTGTCTACATTCACTACTTGAACAGCAAAGCTTCCAATCCATCCTACTTCTTGACACAATCAATGAACCTTTCAAAAACCACATGGGGAATGCAATCACTCAAAAGAAAAAAATAATAAGCTACAAGAGTAAAAATCATGATCAGCAGTTCATGGTGGAATTGTATACCCTTTTGATTAGCATCCTGCTGTAACATACAATTGTAGCAGGAGCAACTATCATTTATAGGCTACAGTACATGTACCCCTGCTCTACCCTTGTTAATTCTACATTTACACTTAAGAGTGTTAATAGCCATACACAATGTATGAGTGTATTTAGGATGAGAAAATAGTTATATCAACCATAACCAAACAAAAACTACCACACTTACTGGTTCTCCACGCTGACCAGGAGGTCCTGCAAGACCCTGGAGTCCTTGATCACCCTGAAGTACAAAAGTTATTTTTTTAATACTATTCTCTTAACCAATATATAATTTTTTTTTTTTTTCACACACACTATACTTTATTTCATACACATCACTTTGCCATCTCCGCCCGCAAGTAGCAAAAGCTAGACAAGGCGGGCGGAGGGGAAAGGTTACAGCAGTCATAACAGATAATATTATTGTAAAGTAACTAAATAAACTATGTGGATAAATAAGAATTACAGAAAAACAAGCTAAAGTTACAAAATATATTTGGAAAAACATAAACAAGTAAAAACTAATAAAATAATGTCCTGGCCTTTCAGGAACCTCATTACACCATTATCAAGATATAGAAATAAATGCAAGTTCAAAAGGAGTTTAAGTACTCTTAAAATTTTCATAATTGAAAATACAGCTAGACTTAGCATGTTCAAAGGCAGTCTTAATTGTTTGATGTACAGCATTTCGTTAACGAGATAGTCAAATCTGTTCTTGCATTATTTTTCAACACTATATAGCAGCTGAGAAGCAGCAGTGCCAGATTGTCCCATTGTTCATACATTTTGTATGTAGCATGACTGATAGTGGCCTGGATGAGCTCTCTACGATACTACGCTGGTATTACAGTGTACCAGTATACATGCAGGGGCGGATCCAGGATTTTCTTTAGGAGGGGGTGCACTTGTCTTTTGCTCTATACTACTTAAACACCAATAAACCATGTATTTTTTTTATTTTTTTTGCAGAATACCAGTTGTATTAGAAAACCGCAGGTCATCTCGGGGGGGGGTGCACCCCCTGCACCCTCCCCCTAGATCAGCCCCTGACATGACAGTTAAGAGTGAAATGAATAACGTGGGCGTACCTGTTCTCCTTTAGGTCCAGCATCTCCAGGCAATCCAATCTAAACAAACAGTCACATCAGACAAAGGGCACATAAAGTTTCTTTCTATAACTTTAGATAGTTCCATAATATTTATATTGTACTGAACATAGATGTATTTGGGACCTTCACCAAAGCTTTGTTTTCGTTTTCATTTAATAATGCTCCTGTGCAACAATCATAATAAAGGGAATTAAAATTGCTTTTTATATTAATACCTTTTGAGGAGGTGGTTCTGGTTCAGCATCAGGAACTAATTAAAGATCAAGAGAAACAAACAATCATACAGCTGTAATACAGTCAAGAAATACAATGATACGAGACATCAAAACACTCATTTACTATTTAAATAGCTTTTACTGAAATGAATTAAGATATGATCGTCGCAGTGGTAATTGCAATTTATGCTATTGCAAATTAAGCCGAAATAAAAGTTTCGGGACTTGAAAGGGATTCGAAACCATGGCCTCTCCGTTAGCGCTGCAGTGCTCTACCAAATGAGCTATGAAGATCCATACATTGGGAGCAGGACAATTTGCTGAGTTTAAATGTGTATTTCTGCAGTTCATATCATCTTCATTCTATGTTAATATAAACCAACAATGTACTTTCTTACATTGAGGGAACCTCTTTGGAGAGAAAAAATCGACAGTCTTTTTTTTTCCACATCCAGGCACTACCGTCCCACCCAGATAAAAGTAAAAATCATAACATTAATGAAACAAAAGTTTTGTTAATTTTTACACACCACAGTAGATGTAGGTTACTTTTCTGACATACCCACACAGTCCCTTTCACATCCAGTGTTGCAGCACTTTAAACTGTTAGGACAACTACTATCGTCAGTACAAAAGTGGTCTACTTCGTCAGGACACTCTGCTGGGGGCTCAAAAGCCGGACATTTGCCTGCCCCTGTAAAAAGATGTGAAGAATCAATAAATTAGAATAATGCTTCCATTTACCAAGTGCAAAACTCTTAGGGCTTGCTGACATGAAATACTGACATGACTAAGATAGTAATCTAAGCAAGTACACTTTTCTCATCCACGCCGTAAAGGGCGAAAATGTCAGAGTCATCTTTCACTTCTTTTACAGCTGTACCTTGCGTCTACATGTTGCATCATTAGAGCCACAACACAACAATAAGGGGCTATGCACATGATACCAGAATGACTTTCATTCTGGAACAAGTTCATTCCATCTCTACACATTTCATAACCGCCACCCGGTAAGCTCAATGGGTCAAGCGCCAGTCTGCTGAGCGGCAGGCCATAGGTTCAAACCCCGGCCAGACCAACACTCAGGGTCTTTAAATAACTGAGGAGAAAGTGCTTTGTAATAACATCTGCAAACGGCTTGACTTTCTAGTCTTCTCGGATAAGGACGATAAACCGTAGGCCCTGTCTCACAAGCCCTTGCACATGTAATAAAAAAAAATCTGTGGGACATTAAAGAATCCACACACTCTTTGTAAAGAGTAGGGCACGTAGTGACTGGTGTCAGGGCTGCAAATAATTTCCCGGCTGACGCCAGTCAAATTGTCAGATCAAACCTATTTTTGCTCGGACATATCCCATCTTTGGCCGGACAAACATCGATTACGTCTTGTTGCTATAAAAGTGCCCCTCCTCCCTTCACATGATGTTAATTTAAATATGAAACAAGTACATTTTCAAAGCATTTATTATACATGGGCATCGATCTCAATGCAGGAAAAGTGGAAAGCATGGTACAGCAAAAGTGCGTCCTACCATTGCTTCAGTTCTGCGTCTTATATACAGTTAGTTATGAAGTTGATGAAATTGACTGAGGCTTGCAATCTAGTTGATTTTAAATGTTACCGGAAACAGGGAAGCTATTTCCCTAAGATGCGTGATTGAACTTTTAAAATACAATAATGGAAGAGTTCTTTTAGACATCCGAGGACATCATCTTGCGGAAACGCAGTTTGGACATATAACAAGGGAACACCCGGATGCACTGTAAAGGGTTTTTGAAGACGTTGATGACTATGTTCACATGTTACCTGTTAAACTGAACTCGTTACATACCACATTGACAACATTTGTAAAGGATTATCGCAAATACAATTTCTTTCTAATCCATTGTGTTTCACCCTGTCAACGGTGAAACTTACTGCATTTTTGCTTCAGTCAAGTTTGAGAAGAATTTTTCAAATATTTTGTATAAACAACCCACGCATCAATGAAATCTGCGGTCAATCGTTTGAGATGAATCGCGTATTTAGAATCGCGTATTTAGGCCAGGTAAAGTTTACATGTTGTCATATCTGAATTTACTGCTAAAAAGGTTTGCTTCCCTAGAAAATACAATGTTTAGTTAATCGCGGTATTTATAGCTTAAGTGATTAACACGGAAATGTCGACAAGTAGACAAATGAACGTAAACTTGCTTTCTTGTTATTGTTATTTTCACACTTAAATTTTGAAGACAAAGGGTGCCATGACCCTTGTACGGACATTGAGAGGTTTTGTTGTCCTTCTCACATCATGTTTACAAAACCCACACGGACTAATAATAAAGTAATTCACACCCGTGACCGGTACACATTACCCTGGGTACCAGAGGTTTTTACACGCGTGCGTAGGGGAGCTTCGCGCATGTTCGGACCACATCTTTAAGACCCACTAATTTGCGGCGACGACTTGGTGAATGACAAAGCGAAAATGTGCAATGACAGCCAGAAATTTTATGACTACTACGAATCATTTATTAAAAGTTCTTGGTCTGGTAGTTAAGTATCCGTCTTTTCCCCTCCTTTTTCACAAACGCCAATAATATTGAACCTTTAAATATTTAAAACTTGAAACTCTAAATTTTTTCCTTACCAGCGTAAACGACCGGACAAATTGTCCAGCCAACTAAGGATTTGCCTGGACAAAATCTATTTTTGACTGGACATTGTCCGTTGACCGGCCGTTATTTGCAGCCCTGTGGTGTAGTGGTCTATCTCACTTTCACACTCATGTATGGGGGCATCGTTAATCATTTCTTCATTACTTGTAAACTGCACCTTAAGCAGTCTGGCAAAGTCCCCCAACCAGTGTTGTAAATTATCCCTGAAAAGCCCTGAGGGGAGTGGATAATATGATATTTACATTTCTCTCAGGGTTCATATTCTTTTGACCTCTTCAAATTCCATGACTTTTCCAATAACCTGAGATCAGGCGGTCCTTCTTCCCTGGAAATGGATGCCTAATATATTTACTTAGCTTGTGGTCTGCCCGTAGTCCAGAATCTGGACTTTTGTCTGATTGGTCGAAAAACAGAATATCCTTCGGAGCCCTGCACTGATTGGTTACAAGCAACATACACTGTATCTGACTTCCCGTGCAATTAGATAAGTCTTGTCACCTTCGCCTCTTCATGACAGAAACCCCGAGATGATCGAGGAATTCTTTTAACAGCAAGCTTAGGTTAAGCTAGGTCTTGGAAGACAAAAATAGTTACTTGAGGATGAGGATGAGTTACATGTATTATCGACTGTAAGGATATCCACTATTTCTTCCATGATGCTTTCTTGCTTGGACTAGGCAGAATTTACTTTGAGAAGCATTGTCTCTATTTCCGATCGAGTAATGACCAGTAACTGCGTGAAATTGTGTAAAACAATAATTATTGAGGATTTTACACCCGTACTTCTGCGAACTGATGAAAGACCATGAACGATTTGTTGCCACAGAATCAATTCCTATACTTTTGACCACTTCCAGAAAAATACAGAATTCTGTTGTTCCAGTACCATTTTTCAAAGAATTATTAATTTGTTTGACTCGACAGTTTGAACAAAGGTACCACATGGGATCAATAAGGCAAGATTTGCAATAACAGTAGTGATACATTGGTCTTTAAAATCTTAGTAGCAACCCGCTCGAGTTTCTGGTAAAATCTAACACAACAACACAAAATGTTGACAGATGCCTTAATTAGGGGGCGGCAGACAACTCATGGAGTAAATGTATCAGGCATTCTTACACAATTATGTTTCCCCTTTCTGCAAAAATAAGAAAAAAAACCTGATTGCGGGTTACTTTTTCCATGACCTTACATTTAGATTTGGAGCTGTCACTTTAAAACATTTTCAAAACTATCCTTGTATCAGGATATTTTTTTTGGACCTTACACAATTCAACAGAACTCTGGTGTCCACTAAAATGTCTCGTTTGCGCAGTTTAATTACATCTCTTTATCTTACACGTACATGTACAATGTAAATTGTCCTTGCTTTTTCACCCGCAGAAACTAATCTAGCTACCAGATAAAGCTTTAATTTTCCATGACTTTCCATGACCAACAATTAAATTCCATGACTTCCAGGGCCTAAAAAATGAAATTCTTAAATTCCATGACTTTCCAGGTTTTCCATGATCTGTCTCTGTATTTGTTTACACGATACCAAAACAACACTTCGTTTCGATTCAATGCAAGTCATTCTGGAATGACTTTTCCCAAGCCAAATGAAATTCTCATTCTGGTAGTTTCATTCTTCGTATTATGTTAACTGAAAACAAATTCCGTTCAGGATTGAGAATCACAAATCATGTGGTGTGGCATGAGTGCATGGTGCATGCATATTTGATCTGACATGAAAACCACTGATAGGCAAGCCTTTAGGGCTTACAAAACCCAAGGCTGTGGCCCCTAGCATTAACTTTTGATCCTAGGTTACTAAAAAATCATAGTTTTTTCATAGAAACCATGTGCTGGGCACCCCAGATTTGGAAGGTTTGGAGCACTGAGCTCCCTTCAGTGAGTCTTCAGTTTTCCTTGATGCACACTGCCTTTGAAACCCATTCCGGAATGAAAGTCATTCTGGTAACACATAAACAGCTCTTAACCTGTCTCTCGGTAAAGATATAATATGAGCAGATGTTTTTCCTTGCAGATACTCCTCAAAATACAGATGACATTCACTGAGCAATATTTTTTGCCGCCATTTCCTTGAGTCTAGCTCGGCCATATCGGCTCATACCTTATTTCCTCTTAAAGTTTTGTTGTGTATAATTGAAAGGCAGGCTGACCGCATGCCGAGATCCTAGCTAGGGCTGGCTCACCTCACATTAATTTGCGGAATCATGCAAGCGAGTTGTCAATGAACACGACGGTGCGATTCTTGATATATAACGAAACCTCTGCTTTGCACTCGCTCATTTTCTTTCTCAGTTTGCAGTTTAAACGGTTTTACTAGTTTAAGCTTGACGATAATATGATGTTATTGATTTATTTAGTAACTACAGGGCAGTAATAGCTATGCTTCAACCAAGCATTTTCTTTTTATAGTGAAAAGTATCAGGTCGTCCATGCGTCCATGCTGTAAGAGTACAAGTATCTGTTTCATCGGAGATTGACTAAAACTTGAATTCAAGGAAGAAAGTTAAGATAATATTATCTATGACCATTTCAAATACACGTATGTCCCAGCCTTCAAGCGCTGGAAATTCAACGCAATTTGCCTCAGTTTTTTACAGTAAATTCAAGCTCCGGTGAGCGCACATAAAATAATATTTGACCTGATCGCGTCATTTTGCTATGAGCTCTGAGCCGGCCGAACGTAATAGTTTTTTTCTCGAGCTAATTGATCAAACAAACTTAGTTGCCATTTTCTCAGTAGAAATCCTCATTCAATTATCTCCAGAAAAAAAAACTTTCAAAAAACACCTACAAAACAAAACAACGCATGCTTTCTTACCTTACAGAACACATTCTTTCACAAGAAGGCGAAAGGTCACGACCACAGCCGGTCTTTGAATATTCAACAGCTTTTTGAAAACTAAAATACCGTCCAGAAACATTGTAAGCCCCCATCTTCAAATACCCTCTCTAAACTTTAAACTAGAGGTCTAGAAAACAGGAATAGCACACTTCCTGGCCTGCGTAGCAGATGGGGGCAGGGAAACGATTGGTTTGCGACCAATTGAGCAGTGGTCACGCACAGTATGTCGTGACAATGACGAGAAATCCCAGATAACAACATTCCTAGCATACGTCGCACACAACCAGAAAAAGGATCACAAAAATGGTTTGTGTACCAACTACTTCAACCTTAATTTATAATATCGTCTTTTTTGCAGCAAATAAAAGCACCTGTAAGCGAAATTGTCCACCTTTTCTCGCAAATGTCACCAACAAGCAGCAAAGCGATTTTGACACCACAGAAGGGTTTTGTTTTCACAAAGGAGTATTGTTTGAGTCACGAAGACCCACGCAAGTGTGAAAAATAAATTTTACACGTGTAGGAACTCGAAATTTCCATGTCTTTCAGATGAGAAAAATTCCCTCCACCCCTCGGTGAAAAAGGTTAAAGTGTATGTAGGTAGATTCCCTCCTTAAATAGTGCCTTTCGCTAGCTCAACTTAATGCAATCTGGAAAAAAAACGAGATTTACTCGGACGAGAACATACTTTCAAGGAACACACTGAGATGGTGTTATGCGATCTTAAGAAAGTAAGTCCTTCTCAAACAGAAAAATGCACTCTATGCCTATGATGGTGGAAAAAATAATAATGCATGACTGTGCAAATCAAACAAATCCCCGGCAAATCTGAATGGAAGACCTAGATCGGCGGGGTGAGACTTCCTCTTGAATTTTGAATGTTGGTGGCCCACTCCTCGAAATCGGCCAGCCGCACGCTTTGGTAAATGGCGCAACTAACTGAGATCGATTCAAAGAAATATCTGAAGAAAGCAAGCAAAGGGAGCGAGCGAACACTTGGCCGAAAACAAAGACATGATTATGTGAATGACGGACTTACTTGATGCTCCATCACCTCCACCCATGCCTCCATGTTGCGCGTAAGTTTGAAGCAGGAACAAGGACATAACTATGTACGTAGCTAGACGGAAGAACGCCATGTTTATGGCCGCCTGAAGAGGTCCAAAAAGGCGAAAAATGCGATCAGCACTCCACGCCAACTAGTAGACCAAGTTCGGTTCAGCCTTTCAACAGAACTGGCTCGGTGCAGGGCGCGTGAAACACCGTGTTTCTGATATCAAATAACCTTTGTTCAACCAATGAAAGATGCTTTCACGTTTCCGGAAACTTGATGATAAACAGGGAGTATTCAAAGCAAAGATCATTGTTGCTGTGCGAACTGTCTAGACATCTCTGGAAAGCCCCAATATTCCGTAACAAATAGAAATCTTCAGCTGCTCTTTGAACGCCATACTACAGACACGCTTCGTATTCACGATGTCGTACCACAGTGGTCGAAAGACGCGCAATGTTTTATAATCTTACTACAATGTTTTCTTGCAACGTCTCTTTCTATAAATACCAATAACAAAGGATTATTGACTGGTAAGGCAACCAAATATCCACCAAAAACTCTTTAGCTTCTAGGCTCCTGTCAAACAAATGCGCGCGGTCTTTCAACGTAGTTAACCCGCCAAAATGAAACTACGCTGTTCACACGCCATCCCAAGTACAGTAAAAACCCTCGTATAAGAACCTAGATTTTACGCAGGCTAGATTTTACTTGTAAGAACCTGTCATGCTAAGATTGTCCATTTAGACCCTTTTACATAACAGCTTGTTTTAGCCTACAATTTTGAAACAAGTTTCTTACTTTGAGCAGTGTTTGAGAAATTCAGCCAGAAATTACCAGCTACCGTAGTCCAGCAACAACAAATTAAAGTATCATGATAATGTTGTTTTTGTTCTGTTTAACTTGCATAGCTTTGTATAAACTTATAACCGGCTTTAATTTAACATGCTTGGATTCAAGATATTTTTATAACATATTGTGCTCAAATACCAAAAAATGGCCACACTGACCAATGACTAACACCTTCTTTATTTTTATAAGGATCTGTTTAAGAACCTGAGTAGCCTAGTTTTCCAGTTAGCACCATTTTAATAAGAACCTTCTTAGCCTAACTTCGAAAAACTTAGGTTCTTATACGCGGGTTTTTAACTGTATTCAATATATGAGTCTTGAGACACTGTTGAGAGCAGAAAAAGGCGTTGCTAGTTTTCAGTAGTTTTTGCTTGTTAAAATTCCAAGTTTCCGTCCCAGACGGTAGGGGGGGGTCTCCCTTACACACCGTTTTGATCCGAAAACGGGTATGTTTTCGAGTAAGGTACCGGAATGTTAGCCTGAATTTCATCCGATTGCTTCGAGTCGTTTTCTCCTCTCAGCAACGCGGAGTTATTTTAACTCTAAAAAAGAGTTTAAAGAACTCTTTTCCAGAAGTAAAAATCAACCCAGATTTGGAGTTGTATTGAGGAGTTAAAGTAACCCCCAAAAAGCGGTTATCTTGTACCTAAAATTTTTACTCCATTTTTGGAGTAGGGACCTCGAGTAGCGAGAGTACGAGAGAGCGGGAGTTTATTTCAGTTTGTTTTTGCAGGGGATTTAGCTGCTCTCCTTATTATCGGGGTGTTCCTTATCCCGTCGGGATATCTGCAAGGCGAGAGTTGACTGTATAAGGTTTGGTTCTCATTTTTCTCCATAGACCGTCTCAGTCCCCCTATTTTTCCGTATAACGTAAGATCGTCGACATCGAGCGCTAACCATTAGGGACGGCCTTCTTCGTCTCCCGCCCTCTATCTAGATTTGCTATTCATCCCCACGAAATAAAAAGTGAGACTCTGAACAGTCTATAGTGTAGTGCTAGTGCTTACACTCCTCTTCCCTAGTCCTATGACGTTCTCTCTTGTCCTGTTGTCCGCGCAAAGTCTGGGAAAGAGCCGGCGAGCAAACGCTGCTCACAAAGTTTTGTTCTCGGCTCATAGTTTTTTCATACGCGCCATGCGACTCAGGCTAATTATACCTATTCCTTCTACAGTCAGTTAACCTGATGTATTGATCAGCAATAGAGAGTGAATGCAGCAACAAATGTTCATTTAAAGGTGAGTAAAGCTCTTCCATACGTTATGTGCATTCTGGAACATTCAAGTGTAGGATTGATCAACGCAATGACATTCATTGAACTGAGCTCACTGATATTATATTGTATCAGTGAGTTCGCCCCCTTTTAGACTGCGAGCAGTCTCTTTTTTTTTTTTTGCAAAGTTACTGCAGGCAAAAACCAAGCAGGCAAGCGGCGAAACCGCTTGCCGCGAGAAATGAGGGCGTAAGCCCGAGAAGAAAAAATCCCGGGGAAAAAATAAGAGACTGCTGACTCTTTTGTTCTGTCTGTGGACAACGAAGCTGTCAAGGTAATTTAATTAATCAATTAAACCAGAGTAACTTGAAACGATTTATAAATAGAGCATAAACAACTGAAAATATTACACTTTCTTTAAGATTGCCTTGAATTCGTTTCCCTTGAGGAAATTTACAGCAGTTTCCTTCTGTAAGATATCCTTAAAAGTTTTATTACTGAGATTACTGCTTGGTTCGCTATTGTTTGCACTTGTTTGTGATGTGTGACTGTTTTTGTGCTTGCAATCTCACCACAGACCAGTCAATGATCTGTCAACAGTTGTGCAGTTGACCAATCGGTCACTCCGTTTCTGGGCTGTTTACTACAAGAGTCAGCAGTCCGTCTTCTTGTCTCGTCTATATAACAACATCGTAGTTTGCAATCACTCTGGATGAGATCAAGAACTAGACGGGTTTTAAGAGAAAAGGCAGACTGCAAGCAGTCTAGCCCCCTTTCTAAGTTCACCATGGAATAGGTATAACTCCAAATTCTCATTAAAGCACGTATTTATACATTGATTTAAAGCATACCTGTGAATTGGCTTGGGTTATCAAAGGAAATATCTGTAACTGAAGTTAGGGAATTAATTTTTATTGTATGTTGATGGCAATTGTTGTCTCAAAATCTACCTAAGACCTTGAAAAAATAACTGCGTGAAAACAGCATCTCCTTATAAGTTGTTTAAGTTTGCTTTTGTAACCAAAGAGCGAAGTAAACTTAAGTCAAACTGGATCAATTTTAGCCTTTTTTGAAAAAATTGAACTCTACCGAGACCTACTGACACCGCACGCGCAAAAAGGTTGGCTAATTCCCTGCTAGCAGAGGTCTTTTATGATGAGACAAAAATGAGAGAAAGTAACCTGCGATCGCAGGTTAGAGAGGAAGGAGAGAGACTCTCTCCTTCCTCTCATTTTTACCTCGTTGTGAGAGACCTCTGCTAGCAGCGAAGTTGGCAAAGTATGTCAAGAAAGGGACGCTTTCTTGATCACGGTTTGCATCGAAGCAACCTTTGACATAAAGTGAGTGCCGCAGGATTATTTTATAGGGCTAACTCTTTACGAGGGTAATTAACAATGTGCTGCTATGAATGTTACTTGATTTCTTACGTGGTGAACTAGTTGGGGGCAAACTCACTATGGGGTGAAACCACTGGCTTCCAACACATATTATATATCTTCCGTGGCAGTTTGTGGCAGTTATGCCATGACAACAGTCAATTCCAGCTGCGTTCACCCTTCCCCCACCCCCCCCTTGGGCTGACCACCGGACATTAGCAATTTTTTTTACCTTGGGTGGCAAATTCCTGGGTGTGGGAACCCAAAAAGAGGACAAATGCCCCGTCCTCTGTCGACACTGTAACATTTTTTATTGATCGCACAGTCAAATAGTGCCATTTTCATCATTTCAATAGACTTCATGCCGCACAACACCATTTTATGGTACGGTTTTAGTATTTGTTATAAAATTATTGACCATGAAATGTTATGTCAAATAGTTTTAGAAATGTGAAAGGGTGTTCTTCAAATAATATCAACAGAAATTTGATTCAGTTTAGCAAAAAAATGTTGATTCACGTCTATACAGCTGTAGCTTCCGATTTCACTCTGTAATGCTGGCTTGATAAGCAATAAAAAGAAATGCATGTATAAAATCAAGAACGTGCCTTTCTTCAATTTTTTCCTGTCCTTGACAGATGAGCAAATGTGCTTGTTTTTCCAGTAAAATCCTCTGTGAAGTAACATTTTTCTAGGAAACCGCGTGCATGTCAAAAGCTTGGGAATAACCCCTGGGTTGGCAAATGCCTGTCCTTTTTATAATTTGGAAGTTCAAGGTTTGATATGATGGGTGGTGTTGCATTACCCATGGTTCACATGCAACCCACACATATTTTTTGCACACTCGTCGTACATTACCACATGATTATGCCATTATTTATAAAAACAAACTTTTATTTTTATACATGTATATAGGCTTTATTGATTGTAGCTAGTTGTCAAATCAATTGAATCCCATATAAGCGCAATTAGGAATAGCTCCCAACTACTTCATGTATGAGAACATTTTTCCCCTCCACTGTCAATCTATGAAATGCTCTCCCTCCTGCCACATTGGACCAGCAAATCGCTGCTAAATTCAAAGATGACCTTAGTTATTATTTTATATCCATGTGATGGTTACCGCCTTTGCAGATAAATAAAGTAAAAGTTAAAGTAAAAAAGTGTAAAAGTTAAAAAGCTAAATATATTACAAGGTATCACTCTTCCTTGTGTAACTAAATATTGTATTCACCTACATGTAACTGAACCTGTTTACCACTAGCTATTCTGAAAATAGAGTGCTCAGGACACTGGCAGTTTTGAAAAAAGCATTTTTTCAGAATAAAAGAAAAAACAGCATGCAAGGTTTTTAAGTAGTGGAGTGGGGTCCAGTGTCAAGGACTTTCCTCTCCAAGCATAGCTGCAACATGCAGCTCTAATGATTGGATCTTTTTCCACCGGTTTACTGAAGAAAAATTGGAGATGTTGTAACATTTTACACACTCAGTGAGGTCAATATAATAAATTATTGCTTGTTTGACTCCTATTTTCAGTTGTACTCTAATAAAAGACTCAGGTCATTCTTGAGTAATAAACTTAGATTAAATTAGTAAAGGTGAGAACTGTTCAAGGAACCTTTCTAAACAAACAGAATTCCTTATTTATGGA